GTACACGGGGCAGGCACCCAGCCTGGGCACAGAGTGGGAGAGATCAGGGAAGGGTTTCAGAGGCCGCCAGGTAAGAATGAATGAGCAAGAGTGAGTGGGGTGAAGCAGCAGGGGTGGGAGTGGTTCAAGCAGAGAGAAAGCATGGATCATGGCACCTTAGAGGTGCCAGTTGTCCAGTATGGCTGGGACATGGTTCCAGAGAAGGAGCATGACTCGATGAGACTGGAGAGGGACAGGTCGTGAGCAGCACTGAAGGCCATGGTAAGGCTTTGGATTTAAAGGGTCTTAGGGAAAAAAGTTTTTATTTGCATTTTGAAAAATCAGTGTGGTTTTGGAGAAGGGGTTTGACTAGGGCAGGTTTAGAGGCACAGGGGCCAGCAAGGAGGGTGGTACAGTAATCAGAAAGACCTGCTGGGGACTTTGGATCAGGGAGGTGGTGTGGGGTTGCGGAGTAATCATCAGCACTTAGAGAGGAGGCCGTGTGACTCCCAAGTTTCGGGTCTGCATGCTGACTGAGTGGTGGTGCCACTTCCTGACATGGGAGACACAGAACGGGGAGGGGGATGTCTTAGTTATGTAGAGTCAGCTCTCTGTGAGACACCCAAGTGTTCAGTGGATAGCTGGATATAAGGACACGGAGCCCAGGGAAAGGTCTGGCCCCGAGATAAACTCTGGGATTTGTTGACATATGGACGATGCCTACAAAGGTCAGGCAGGTAATATCAGTGAGAGAACTAGGCAGCTGAGATGAACAAGGGGGCCAATTGCATCTTAGCTCGAGCTGATTGTTGTCATGTGGGAGTGAGGGCCAAGGGTTGGCAGGTCTTCCAATTAAAAAAAAAAAAAAAGCATAGCAAATGGGTAAGGATGCCATAGGGATCCAGTTCTGGTGCCATCACTTACTAACTGTATGACCTTGGTCAAGGTACTTCATCTCCCTGTGCCTCAGTTTCCTCATTGGTAAAATAGGAACAATAATGGTACATACCTTGTAGGGTTGTTTGGAGATTAAATGCCTTGCCCTTTGTAAAGCACTTAGGGAAGTGTGTTCCTTATTGTATAAGTATTTGTTAAATAATCAATAAATGGATAGATAAATAAGTAAATACTGTTGTGAAGTGAAATGAACAGAGGGTGTAAGATGGAGCCCCGAGGAGCTCTAACATTTGAAGGACTGCTGAGTAGACAGAGAAGGAGGGGCAAACCAGGGGCAGGGTATCCTGGAGCTAAGGGATAAGAGTATTTCTAGAAGACAAGGTTAGTCAACAGTGTCAAACATGGCAGAGAGAGCAGGTAACATAAAGACCAGAGTGTCAATTGACTCTAGCAGCAATACCTCACTTAATCCTCACAGAAACTCTGCAAGGAGGGTATTATGTTATTGATGAGGAAACCAAGGTTTAGTGAGGGCATGTAGACACCCTAACTCATTGACGATGCCCTAACGCATGCAGCTGGACCGTGGGGGAGATGCGCCGGTACCTGGACAGGCCAGATTCTGAAGCCCATGATCCTCCCTCCACGCCCTGCTCCTGGAAGAGTTAGCAAAGGATGTTACCAAGATTTCTGAACTGCAGTGGGGATCAGTTTTTTCATTTGCCTATAAGCAGAGGATACAGTTTTCTCTCTGTACTTCTGAAGTATCCTATACTTTCTCATTCCTTCTTGAGATGGACAACTTGGGGTTGATGTCATTATCAGGAGGATGTCTTATAATTCTTCACATGTAAGAGCAGAGCTTTTCTCTTTCCCAAACTTGGCTTTTGAGGTAAAGAGGCCCAGTAACTTCAGCCATTTCAAGAGGGAAGTTTTGCCTCAAGGTTTCGTAAATTTGGATATCAGTAATGTTGAATTGATTCCTTGTTTATTCAGAGCAGCGAGTTTCAGGAGAAAAGAATGAAAACGGTGCCCGGTGGAAAAACCAGGACTGTGTGATAACCTGGGAGTTAGACGGGAATCGGGGACACAGTGTACTGTCCCCAGAGTCCCATGGGTCACCCAGACCTGGCAGAACCAGGTTCTGTGCCCATTTCCGCACCCAGCACCCTGGGAGAGCTTAATTGGAGTAGAGAGGGTTAATAATTAAAATGTGGAGCTCTCTTTTCTCACCTGATTGAGAGAATAAATAGCACAAAGCAAATGTTTTGCAAGGGCACATTTAGGATTATCTCGGTGAAAACCTCAGCATTTAAAATGACTCTCAAAAATAACCATCCAGCTTTTGCTGTTTTGTCTTGTCAAACAGTAATAGTATCTCTTATTGCACTAAAGTGAAGTCCTCCCAGGGCCATAAACTTTTGCTGGGGTATGTGCTTCTCATTCTTTGATGTAGGGTCAATAGCCATGCTGAGGACCCCAAAGTGAATAAGGACCCCATGAAGAAAACGAGGAGCTTCATTCTAGGGAATAAGTGCTTAAAAGCTTAATGTTTACAACAGTGTGGCGTTTAATGTTTTTCCACATTTTTGTCAGAGGCTGCTTGGACGGAGTACAGCGATTTTTACTCCACCCCTACCCTGATCCTCTTCCAATGTTCTCTTTTGTAAAGAACAGCGCCACCTGGGGGTGGACCCAGGTTGTGTGGGATGTGAAGCTTGTAAAATTTTGGGGCCTTCAAATAAAACGAGTGTAAAATTAGGTACAGAAAAATGAGTGCTTATTCAGAATGAGAAAAGAAAGTAGGTAGGAACAGCCCATGCAGGTGAAGGATCCTGAAGCTTAAGCTTGGTCAGCTTCATGCTAAGTCAGCCCTTGGAACCACCAAGATCCTGTTCTTCAAACGCGGTGTCTTTCTATCTGTTGACTTTTCTAGCTCAATCTCTAACCAACTGCCCTCACTTCCTGCCATCCTGCTGTGCTGACCTCCCGGCAAATCCTGCCATTTCACCCTCTTTATTACCGTGTTCCTCTTCTTTAAAGCTTTATCCTAGCTGTGATTTAAGCATTTCTGCATTATTCTTTGATTGTCTAGTTTGGGATTCTAAATCATTCCAGGAGGCCTAGGACTGGGGTATTTTGCTCACGGTTGTAGTTCCGGGGCTTAGCTAAGTGCCTGGCCCGTAGTTGGAACTCAAATACTTATTGACTGAAGGAATTTGATAAGAAGTAAAGATACTAGTAAGAACAAATTTGTTGGTTTTGTGCCCCAAAGAAAAATTACACTGGGTAGAGCCAGCTTAAGGTTATTTGGGTCAACTGTGTCCATGCTAAGGACTGTCGGCAGCAGAGCCTGCTCTGAGATTTGAAAAACTTTCTCAAGCTTTGCCATTCAAAAATGTCACCTTAGGGGCCGGCCTGGGGGTGCAGCAGTTAAGTTCACACACTCTGCTTGGCTGGCCCCGGGTTCGCCAGTTCTGATCCTGTGCATGGACCTATGCACTGCTTATCAAGCCATGCTGAGGCGGCATCCCACACATAAAATAGAGGAAGATGGGCACGGATGTTAGCTCAGGGCTAATCCTCCTCCTCAAAAAAAAGTCACCTTAAAGGGAATTGACCTCAGCAGTATTAACCTGTGCCTTCAGCATATGGAAATCTTTGAGACCCTTGAATTGCAGCTAGAGACCCTGTATTCACGTGTAGATACAAGAAACACTTCAACTCAAGTGATTTTTGGGGTAGTTGACATTGGGGATCTTTGGCTCTGTTCCCCTCAATTGGCTACTAAGTCTAGTACTTTGAATTACAGGCGGTTCTTCTCTACTGTGATAAATACATTCCTATAAAACCTTCTATTCAGCAACAGATGAGCCAAGAGGCAAGTTGGGAGAGCCACTGTCCCTTTGCGGAAAGGCAGCTTGTTGTCAGGGCAGTGGGAGGGGATGGCTCGGGCTGGGGTGGGGAGCTGCGACCGAGGCCCTCTGCTTTTCGAGGTCCCCTGGTCCTCCCGACTGCCCCAATACAGCCAAGTGAGTCTCTGCCTCTTTGCTTGGCTCATGCTGTCCCACAAACAGTCCAGAATGTTCTTCCTGATCTCACTCCCTGATGAAATCCCGCTGACGGAGTTCAAGCTCCAGCTCTTCCTTCCCTGGTTGTGCCCACTCGTGTTAAATTTGATCTTCCTGGAGCTCCAACAGCCCTGTAGACAGAGGACTCTCCTCTTGTGATGTTGAACCACGCCCTGCCTCGTATTATTTAGGTAATCCTCTCACGTCTCGTGTGTCCCCAACTATGCTGCAGCTGCCTTGCAACCAGGGAACATGCCACACTTCTTTAGTGTCCCAACAGTTTCACACCATGTTTGACTCATTCTGGCTCGATACTTCATTCCACAACTGGTTCACTAAGTACCAGGTGCTGTATCAGAGGCAAAGGAAACAGAATGAAAGCTGTAGTCTTTCCCTCAAGAATCTCCTAGTCTGGTGGAAGGGACCTCATGACCGGGTGCTTAATTGGTTATTTTCTCCCAGTTTGGAGTGACCTTTAAGGAACTGGGCACGGGGGAGATGAGATATGTTCCCAGTTTCTCCTGAGTCCTATCTTTCAGTGTGGTTTCATTCTTCCATTTTGAGTGGATTATGTTTTTTTTTTTTGGTGAGGAAGATTTGCTGTGAGCTAACATCTGTGCCAACCTTCCTCTATTTTGTATGTGAGCTGCCACCACAGCATGGCCACCGACAAGTGCTGTAGGTCTGTGCCCAGGAACCAACCCGGGCCACCAAAGTGGAGCACACTAAACTTAACTGCTAGGCCACAAGGCTGGCCTTGAGTGGATTCTTTGAATTTTGGAAACATGCTCATAACATCAATTACACGTGTAACATTCTGAATTCAAATATGAGGGAATTATGGGAGTCCATAAATGCAGCTATTGAGAGCTCATTATACTAAGACACTGCTATGCTAAATAGATAAAAATATACTATATGAGTGCTGTGCTTGTTTGTATGTGGAGATAGCTGGTTTATGATGGAAAGTCATTAACAGACAAAACTTTTATTAAACATCATGGTAATACTGTGTGGTTAATGTAACCAAGCATTCTGCTTCTTTGTGTTTAGGAAATTATACAGTTCTGGCTCGCCAAGGGTGTTGATGGCTTTAGTTTTGATGCTGTTAAATTTCTTCTAGAAGCAAAGCATTTGAGAGATGAGCCCCAAGTGAATAAGACCCAAATGCCGGTAAAGTTTTATTTTAAACATATATCTTTCTTCCTTTTCTGAAAATAACAGTAAGAATAAAGGAGAGAAGAGTTCAAACAAATTTAAATGCATGATATTAATAATTTTGTGAGCAGATAAAGTACAGGTATAATAATGAACTCTATTATCATTAAGATAACTTGTTTTTGTTTGCCTTAAAAGGGTCTGGAGCATTTAGGACAATTAAATGTTCAGGAGGAAGATTTTATTAAATACATTTGTAATCAATGTTTAGATGTTCATTAAAATCTAATTTGTTTACTAGATTTATAGTTAATAATTGAAGCCTCAAATGAAGTATAATAGTCATGAACGTTCTTCTCCAGCCACAAACCCTCTTGAATGCTGAAGTCCTAGGACTATCTTCCAGCATGTGTGTCTGGGCTCGAGCCCTTTGGAGAAGGCCAGCTATGGGCATTTGACATGTGAAATGATGGTAACCATGCTGTCCTGTTTTCAAAGGACACCATCACACACTACGCGGAACTGTACCATGATTTCACCACCACGCAGGTGGGAATGCATGACATTGTCCGGAGCTTCCGGCAGACGATGAACCAATACAGCAGTGAGCCTGGGAGGTACAGGTAAGCACAGGACACACTCTCCCCTTCACGGGGGCAGCGTGTGAGCTGCAGTTTGCCCCTCACAAGCAGGCAATTCTCAAGAGGTTCAAGTTAGAATTTAACAAACCTGCATAATTACAATGTATTATTATAGCTCAGTTATGCCAGGGCCTGGCATAGTCCCTCATGTTGCTTAACTTTCCTGACTTTCAGTTTCCTCTTTTGTAAAATGATGCTAATCGTAGTACTTATTTCACAGGAATTTTGTGAAAATTTAATTACAAATATATCATCTACATGTTACGCATTAACTATTAATGTTTTTGTCATTATTATTTGACCTGTTAGTGTCATTGGACAGTATGAATTCAGATGTTTCGACTAAACTGTTAGTAGATCCCAATGGTTAGGAACACAGCTGTGGAATCAGATTGGCCTGACGTGGAGTCCTGTGTAACTGCTGTGTGACCTTGGGCTGGTTAGTTAACCCAAGTCTCAGTTTTTCATCAATCAAAAGGTGATGGCAACACCCCGATATGGCTGTTGTGAGATCCACAGTGCCTGGCAGATAATAAACCCTCAATAAATGTAACTCCTACTACGTTTATGTAGATCACACTATAGAATCAACAGAAAACGTTAAAGACATTTCTCCTCCTTAAAGTAGGTCCTCTAATTACTATCCCCATTTTACAGATGGGGAAACTGAGACTCTGAGCATGCAGGTGATGGTCACACAGATAGTAATGGCAGAGATGGGACTGGAACTGAAACTCTGGGTTCCAGACACTATGCACTTATTCGTTAATGTAATGCCTCCAACAGCTCAAGCCAGCAGTGAGGTGTGTCATTTAGGCAAATGTGTCTTCCCTGTAGAATTTTTGGTTTTCAGTAACTAAGCGTGTACCCCAATAATAAAGTGAGACTTTACAGGGATTCAAATACAAGGGGAAGTTTTGGGGGTAAACTCCCTCACCTTATATGGAGACATATACTGTAAATTCTGAGTGATGAGAATTGCTAAAGAAAGTTTTCCTGGAAGTTAGTGAGTTTTTATCAGATTTGGAAAGAATAGAACAATATTGCTTGAGATCCAAATGTATTTCTTAACTCGTAGGCACGGCCTAGTATTAGGCTAGTCTTCGGGTTTATTACAGTGAGGAAGCGTCTAGGTGACCCAGCATGCCATTTCTCGGTCATCTGGCTTGATTATGCTCCGAGTGAGGCCCAGCCTGATACGACTAATAGGTGCATTCACCCCCCACATCTAGCCAATCAGATACAAGCACTTTCCCAGTCTCCTGACAGGTCCTGAAGAGGCTGCACCCTGCCAACTCTTACAGGTTCATGGGGACTGAAGCCAATGGAGAGAGAATTGACAGGACCATGATGTACTACGGGTTGCCTTTTATCGAAGAAGCAGATTTTCCCTTCAACGATTACCTCACGAAGCTGGAAACTCCTTCTGGGAGCACTGTGTTTGAGATTATCACATCCTGGATGGAAAACATGCCAGAAGGAAAATGGCCTAACTGGATGGTAAGTCCTCATGCCCAGCTGGGCACATCTGGTTCTGGTGGGCTTGGTGAACAGTCACTTCTAAATCGAGGGGCATGTGGTCTCTAAGTAACCTTCACCTTTCCCTTATTTGGTGATTGTTTATAGTGAGCCACTGTCCCTTTATTGATAGTATTTATTTATTTCCTTTTATTGATAGTATCTATTTGATGAGACATTGTTCTCATACTTTCTTTAAATTCTTTAGTTATAGTTTAGTTTTTTGAACATAGATATAATAGTTGACTTAAACTCTTTGTCCAGTAAGTTCCATGTCTGGGTTTCCTCAGCCACATTTTCTATTGACTGCTTTTCTTCCCCTACGTATAGACATACTTTCCTGTTTCTTTGCATATCTTGTATTCTTTTTTGTTGTTGAAAGCTGGATATTTAAAATAATACAGTGTAGAAATTCTGGAAATCACATTTTTCCCTTCCCAGTGTTTGTTGTTGCTGTTTGATTCTTTAGTGATTTTCTGCAAAATCTATGCTCTTTGTTGTGTGTGGCCACTCAAGTCTGTGGTTGGCTTATTGGTCAGCTAATGACTAGAAAGAGACTCTTGAAACGCCTTGAACCAGTAAGTCTCCCAGCCTTTGCTGAGGGGCTCTGCGTGTGTGTGTTGGGGCACGAGTTCAACACTCTCACAGGCAGTTTACAATTCTGCTTCAGTCTTCACTTTCTGTTTGCACAGAACCTCAAGGTTAGCCAGAGGTGAGAGATTAGTCTTCTCAGGTCTTCCCTGGGCATCTGCACAGCCCTGAACATGGGTGTAGCCTTCTAGGTTCCAGCAGTCTGTCAGAGCCTTTCAAAGCACCTTTTGGACATCTCTTCCCCAGCTATTTCAGTTTTTGGGTCAGTCTCTGTTTAGCCTCCGTTGGTAATACCCTCAGGCAGCTGTTAAATAACTGCTGCTGATTGTTTTTGCAAATACGTTGGGGACAGGGGCTGTCTGCACAAAGTCAGCTCTGAGTCAGATCAAATTAAAAAACCCAACCAAAAGCAAGCTGCTAGAAATGTCAGAGAGTGACAGTTCTCTAGAGATGAAGCTTTTGGTGAACATTAAGCCTATTCTGCCCCTCCAGTGGCTGCTGGCTGCTGGTTTGCACAGCTACTGTAGGTGCAAGACTGCTGCTTTTCAAGACTGTCAAGGATCTGAGTGGAGGGGCATGAAATTAGGGCAAGTTAAAATGACACAAAGCTTGCTGTTCTGAGATCCAGTTGTTTTTCTTTTCTTTTCTTTTGGTGAGGAAGATTGTCCCTAAGCTAACATCTGTGCCAATCTTCCTCTATTTTGTGGGACACCGCCACAGCATGGCTTGATGAGCGGTGTGTAGGTCTGCACCTGGGACCTGAACCCACGAACCCCAGGCCACTGAAGTGGAGTGTGTGAACTTAATCACTACGCCACCAGGCTGGCCCCTCCAGTTTTTTTTTTCCTTGAATAAATACTCCTTGGATTGTTCCAAGCCTTTAGTTAATTTCCAGAGTTCTGAAAAAATGGATTTCTACAGTTTTTGCTAGTTTTCTCCTTGCTTTTGTGGTGATTTTTGGAGGCCCTGGCAGCCAGGCGATTGGCACCTCTCAGCCTGTGAGAGGCCCTGATCTCTGTCCACTGCTGTGAACTACCTATGGAAATATTTCTTGATTTCAGTTCTGAAAAAAAGAAAGTGTCCTGGGGCTGGCCCTGTGGTTGAGTAGTTAAGTTTGTGTGCTCTGCTTTGGCGGCCCGGGTTTTGCCAGTTTGAATCCTGGGCGTGGACATGGTACCACTCATCAAGCCATTCTGAGGCGGGGTCCCACATGCCACAACTAGAAGGACCCACAACTAAAAATACACAACTATGTACTGGGGGGCCTTGGGAGAAAAAGGAAAAATAAAATCTTAAAAAAAAAAAAGTGTTATAGTCCAGAAGGCTCAAGAAATCAGTTTCTTGTCAGATGCCCTCAAGATAATGAAAAGAATAAATAGAAGCAAAATTTGATCCAATTTTCTGGTCATAAAAATAGAAAAATACTTTACAGATGTACTTTAGTACCTCTCAAATAAATAAATAAATAAATAAATAAAAGCTACCTCCCTTTTCCTGAATTGTAACAACCAAGTTCCTATATTCAGACTCAAGTTCAAAGGCTGGTTCTGCCTCAAACCTTGAGTTGAAATAAATGATACAGTTTCTCAGAGCTTGTTTCATCATTTGTAAAATGGAGATAACACCCAACAGCACTGTAGTGGAGTGGGGAATAAGATATAACATAGGTGTGAAAGTACTTTTTTTTTTGAGGAAGATCAGCCCTGAGCTAATATCTGCTGCCAATCCTCCTCTTTTTGCTGAGGAAGACTGGCCTTGAGCTAACATCCGTGCCCATCTTCCTCTACTTTATATGTAGGACGCCTACCACAGCATGGCTTGCCAAGTGGTGCCATGTCTGCACCCGGGATCCAAACCAGTGAACCCCGTGCCGCCGAAGCGGAATGTGTGCACTTAACCCCTGTGCCACCGGGCTGGCCCGAAAGTACTTTTTAAACAGTAAATTGCCATGCTCAGCATATGCATGATATTGAGCTATGAGCTATGATATATGAGAGTTGTTGGGTGATTTAAATAAATTCTTAAATAAGGACTAGATGTTATAGTATGTAATTAGAGCATTTAACATAGAAATATATTTAAAAATAGAAAACACTACAGAATTTCCTCTTGGACTACATAAATTTCTTTATAAAAGTTGACTTACCTTTAAATTTTGTTTTGAATAGTTCAAAAGGCACATACACACACTAAAAGGGACACATCAGAAGTCTTTCTCCCACCCTGTCCCCTCCACCTGTTCTCTCCTTATCCTGCTCTCTCTGGGGGCAACATTTTTGTTTTCTTTCCCATCAAAATTCTCTTATCCAAATGTGTGAAAATATTAATATGCACCCTCATAGATTTTATCTTATTTGCAATATCATTGTGAAGTAAATTATCACCATTTTGTTGATCAGATGAATGGCTAACACGTAGGCTGGTCAGTCACACAGCAAGTAGCAGGATTAGGATTCAAGTTCCGGCTTGGTCATACCAAGGCACCGATGACTAACCTTGGTTTTCTGCCTGGCAAGCTTTTTGTGAAATAGGGTAACTCTTCCAGAAACTGTGTATAGAGCTGCGTTCTTAAAAATCTCTGTCTTTCAGATCAGTGGACCAGACAATGCCCGGCTGATTTCTCGTCTGGGGAAAGAGTATGTCAACGTCATGAACATGCTTGTTTTCACACTCCCTGGAACTCCCATAACTTACTATGGGGAAGAAATAGGAATGGGAAATATTTTAGCCACAAATCTCAACGAAAGCTATAATGTTGTAAGTTCTTATAATTTAACCACACACCACACCAAATATTCACTTTTTGCCAAATCAGAGAATTTACCATTTCTATTCTGCTGAAACTCATAACGACTTTGCTTTCCTTTCTTACTGTTGGGCAATGAGAATTCTCAGCTTTCTTGGTCAGAGAGCTTGTTAAAAATCCTGCTTCCTGGGCCAGCCCCCGGTCTAGTGGTTAAGTTCGGCACGCTCTGCTTCAGTGGCCTGGGTTCAGTTCCCTGGTGCGCACCTACACTGCTGGTCAGTGGCCATGCTGTGGCAGCAGCCCACATACAAAATAGAGGAAGATTTGTAATGGGTTAGCTCAGGACGAATCCTCCTCAAGCAAAAAGAGGCGGATTGGCAAAGGAAGTTAGCTCAGGGCAAATCTTCCTCAGCAAAAAAACCCCAACTGCTTCCTGAGCCACACAACTTAATTTCTTGTGCAGAGCTTAGGAATCTGCATTTTAAAGATGCTTTCCAGATGATTCTTAGGCACACTAAAATTTGAGAACCAGTGTTTTGAGTGTGGAGTATTACTCATTGTCCTCTATCTGAAACATGGCGTTAGGAACATTTATCATAGTGCTTGTCTGTACTGCCAGATCCCATTGGACCACAGCGCAAAGTCCTCCTTCTGTGGTAACCAGTGTGGTGCACAGCCTCATATTTGAGTGGTTTTCATTTTGTTGGAGGCTACAGATCTCACAATTGTGTTCCTGGGCAGATGAGTGATCTTGAACCTGTAATTTGTACGGTTAGCTTTCAATTGTATGAGATCCAATTTCCCTACTATTTGGTCAAAGTGAAACTTTTTCTATTTTAGCTCCTAAATTTGTGTCTGCACTCATGTGCAATACCAGGCTGGATAAAAGTAGAGAGAACGTAGGCTCACTTATACATGGCCACGTACTTGAATTTACCATTGCTGTATCACAGTAGAATGAGTTGGTAACAGCACATTTTGAAATCCTACATTACCCATTTTTAGGGAAAAGCAGCAGATTCCAAGCATGTAGCAAAGTTCAGTTAGTACAGTCATTCAAACTCAAAACATCAACTTATTTTCCAATTAAAAGTGTAAAACTGGGGGCAAGTTTGGGGGCGCAGTGGTTAAGTGTACACGTTCCGCTTTGGCAGCCTGGGGTTTGCCGGTTTGGATCTCAGGTGTGGACATGGCACCACTTGGCAAGCCATGCTGTGGTAGGCATCCCACATATAAAGCAGAGGAAGACGGGCACGATGTTAGCTCAGGGCCAGTCTTCCTCAGCAAAAAGAGGAGGATTGGCAGATGTTAGCTCAGGGCTAATCTTCCTCAAAAAAAAGTGTAAAACTCGTTTTTGTATTGAATGATAAGGCCTTCTTGTTATGAATGCTAATGAATACAAGTATTAACTAAGAAATATAGGGAATTAAATAATTATGAAGTAAATCATGGCTGAATTGCGTATCTTTTAATAACTGGACCACTGTTTTCTCTTTCTGGTCTTTTGCCATAGGATACCCTTTTCTCAAAGTCACCAATGCAGTGGGACAATAGCTCGAATGCTGGTTTTTCTGAAGGCAATCATACCTGGTTACCTACCAGTTCAGATTACCACACTGTGAATGTTGATGTAAGTATCAATGAAAATTTTATGCTGATCTGGAAATAAGAAATGAGTTTCTGTGCTAACATACAGTACCCTGAGTGTATCTAAAACCTTAATTAACGCTCTTTAAATCAATCACAGACGTCTCTTGCAGTTTTAATTTTTAAGGAGTTTGTAAGTCACGTTTTTATGAAAATACAAACTGGTACAGAAGTGTACCATCTGAAGTATCATACAGAATATACAATTCTTCATTGGGATGACTTTAACTAAGGGCTTTGAGCCATTAGGGAAATTACAGAGGTCTTTCAGCACGCCCAGCCATCCCTACTCCTTTCCCTGCCTCAAAAGGAAGGACGGAAGGAAGGTAGGTCAGTCAGTCTGTCTAGGGTAACGCGGAATTGCGAGCAGGGCTGTTTACCTAAAGAAACTGAAGACATGAATATTCCCTAAAAGCAGCTGTTCTGGAAAAGCACACTCTTCCGCTCTTGCCTATACTAGTTTCTGTTCTCATGGTGATCAAGTTTGCCAAGTTCAGCAGATTTCCTAAACAGGAATGTATAAATTCCAGCGAAGTGCTAAGTACATTTCCTTAGACCAGGAAATTATGAAATGACTTTAGATGAGTAAAAGGAGATTCCACTGTCATGTACTAGTGAAAATTTCACTGGAAAACACTTTAGAGGAAGAGAAATTATTGGCATCATATGCAGATACTTAAAAATTCTATAGCACCCTTTCACTTCAATCTACTAAGTATTTTGAAAACACTCCCCAGATTATTCTGATATAAAACTCCACGCAAACCCTCCTGTTCCCACAACCCCCACTCCAAGCACTACAGAGGATTCTGGGATAGTATAAGCTTTGTTTTATATATTCGTAGGTCCTTGAAAACACAAAATATGTATTTTTACATTTGTATTTTGGATTAAGTTCATCTATTGATTTCATTATGTCCAAATGTCCAAAATGTTCCCATAGGCCAATCTGAATCCAGTATGTAAGAAACCCTACCTTAAGATGTATACCAGCAAAGACAGAAAAATGTAAATACAAATTAAAACAATGAAAAAAATTTTTTCTATTAGATTAGCCAAGTCTTTAAAATGATCGTGAATAATGGGGCTGGCCCCATGGCCGAGTGGTTAAATTTGCATGCTCCACTTCAGGAGCCCAGGGTTTCACCAGTTCAGATCCTGGGTGTGGACATGGCACCGCTCATCAGGCCATGCTGAGGCGGTGTCCCACATGGCACAGCCAGAGGCACTCACAACTAGAGTATACAACTATGTACTGGGGGGCTTAGGGGAGAAGAGGAAGGAAAAAAGAAAAAAAAAAAAGATTGGCAACAGATGTTAGCTCAGGTTCCAATCTTAAAAAAAAAAATGTCATGAATAATATTTGGAGGCATGCTAAAATCATAATCAAAAGTCTCAGGCAATACCATTTTAATACGACCACAATAGCCCTAGAAACAGGTGAGAATTTAAGTAATTTCTAAAAGATGGAAAGTAAAATTAAGATTACAGAGAAAAGCATAGAAACCTAAGTCTAAAATACAGAGGTGAAAACAGCTCTAGGAGGTGCAGGCGGGGTGCGGCAGGGCTGGTCCTAGCCCACTGCCCTGAGGAGGGAACCCAATGCCGGTTTGGTGATCATATTCATCTGATCATATTCATCTCGGAATGAGTAGAGCAAAGCCTGAAACAGTGTCAAACTTCTACAAGCACAGTAGAACAAAGAAAAGAGGAAAAAGAACACCTAATTTTAGTGATGTCATTTTAGAGAGCATTTTAGAATGCTCTCAGAAATGAGGCCAGAAGGTAGGACCCTAGGTAGCTTATCACCATTAAACAGGAAAAGAACCCTTACACCCAGACCTACCTCCAACTCAGTTTCTCACAATTAGTAAAGGCCGGTGACTGAAGACAGGCAAACAAGGAAAAAATGCAACAACTCAAAATGCAACAGTATCACCAGGATCACTAAAATGCGCCAAGAATCACACTACATTTGAGAAAAATTAAGACCGTCAGAGAGAGACACCATTCCTAACAGAACATTGTAGAAAGCAGAGAAAACAACAAACATTAAGACTTCACTGTTCGTATAAACAAATGCCCTATAGAGTATTGTTCTATTCTTAAAATATCTTTTATATTTAACTGCATTTTCACCACTTCCAGTGCTTTTTATTTATTTTTTGAGGAAGATTACCCCTGTGCTAACATCTGCTGTCGATCCTCCTTTTTGCTGAGGAAGCCTGGCCCTGAGCTAACATCTGTGCCCATCTTCCTCCACTTTATATGTGGGACGCCTACCACAGCATGGCTTGACAAGCAGTGCATACGTCCGCACCTGGGACCTGAACTGGCGAACCCTGGGCCGCCGAAGCAGAACGTGTGAACTTAACCACTGCACCATTGGGCTGGCCCCTTGACTCTCTTTTAAAGAAGTGATTAGATATCTTAGGAATGTAAAATATTGTCAAAATAAACAATGAAATAGACAGAAATTCTAATTAGTGTGCTGGAAAACTGACTGAGGGGTTTGTTCCAGAATGCACTGTAAAAGGCAAAGAAGTTACAGCATAAAGAGAAAATCTTTGATATGTGAAGGATAAATCTAGAAATTCCAACATACAACAGAAAGGGATTCTACAAGAGAACAGAGACTGTAGGGAAACATGTAATCAAAGAAATAAAGAAAAAAATAACCCAGAGATAACAGAAGACTTCATCTTATTCTAGAATGGCAAAAACAAAGAGAAAACCCTAAAAATACGCAGAAAGAAACCAAACTCAAAAAGAGATTACCTGAGAAAAGTCCTGAGAATTAGACTGGCATCAGACTTCTCAACTGGATACTAGAACACATTAGAACTTTATCTTCAAAGCTGTGATGAAAACTTAGATTTTAAACCTAGAATCCTATATCCATTCAAACTAGAATTCAAGAATAAGAGCAAAAGAGAGAGAGAAAAGCAAGGGTCCAAATTTTACCATGTATAGCCAGTTTCTGAAAAAATAATTGGGAACTCTACCAAAACCAAAAACGAATCTAAAAGGAAGACATGATACATAAAACACAGGAGGTTTCGAAAGGAACCACAAAACTTAAATAATTTTTGATACATAATGTAAAATAAGGTTTCTGGAACAAAAATTTTAGTCACTTATTTCTATATGGGAAGTTGTGGCAGAGAGGGTGTGCGTGTGAGAGAGCGAGTGAGTGTGAGCCAGCAGGCCAAAGCACTTATCCTTATAGGGGATGGAAACAGAGTTAACTCCCTCTAGATATGAGCTGCCCAGTAGCCATTAACCAATGTGACTATTAAAATTAAATAGAATTAAAAATTCAGTTCCTGTCTCACACCAGCAACATTTCAAGTGCTCAGCAGCTAGTGGCTACCATATTGGACAGCATTGCACCATATGTTGAGAAAAATATATTTTAAAATGGTCATTACAATTTTAAGGGTAACCATTAGAAGAACAGATATAAATATGTAATTTTCAAAGAACATCAGAAGGAAAAAATTACATTAAAAAACCAACTGACCCAATAAAAAGCTAAAAAGCAGAAAACAACAGTACAACTATAAATAAAAGATAAAATAAGTCTATAGGGTTATGTCTAAACATATGGTAATCACAAATATAAATGGGTTAAATTCACCTGTTAAAAGATAAAAAAGATTAGATAACTAGACAAACTCTGACATCGAAGACATAGCTAAAACAAAAGGACACAAAGAAGTAAAATAAAGATATCACAGCCAAATACTAATAAAGTTTGCCACCTGGCTATAGCTATCAAAACAAAAAATGCATAAACCTTTTACCTAGTAATTTAATTCCCAGGTATCTATGTAGGAATACTTGCACATGTGGAAAATGATAAATATTCAAGGATCTCTACTCTGCAGCACTGTGTTCAATAGCAGAGGATTCTGGAAGTGATTTAAATATTTTATCAATAGAAAACCAACTCAATCAATTATGGTTAATCTATACAATGAACTTGTATGCAGCTTTTAAAAAAAAAAGGAGTTCTATGTGCATTGACATGAGACCAGGTCTAAAATGTAATAAATAAAAAACAGGGTACAAAATGGTAATAACATGGCACAATTTGTGTAAAGAAAAAAAAGTATGTCTACATATGTTGGCATAGGCACAGAATGTATAATTTCATATGATGCATAAAAATGAAACAGTACATAAAAAGTAACAGTGTTATCTCAGAGGCCCTGGGAAGCTAGGGGATGGTGTTGAAGAAAACATTTTAATTGTATATGTTCTTATAAGTGAGTTTTATATGGTGTGCATGCATTTCCCATTAAAAAAATAAACTTACGCAAAGCAGGTATGGAAATATTTAATAGCAGACAAAATAGAATTCAATATGAAAAGCATTATGAGACAAGGGCAATTTTCAAAAATTGATAAAAGAACATTCCACTACAAATCATGAATCTATCATCTAACAATAGCTTCAAAATATATAAAACAAGTACTCTGAGAAATGCAGAGAGAAACTGACAAATCCACAATGACAGAGAGACACTTCAACATACTTTTAGAAGGTGGTAAAACCAAGTAGACAAAAATAATAGTTAACACTTATTGGGCACTTCTTATGTGAGTGGCACTGAACTATGCTTTTTCATGCATTATCTAAGGCTATAGAAAATGTTAATAGTAATTTGACAAGTCATATACACATACCATATACATGTACCATAAATACCTTTGTACCTGATAAACAGAGAATAATCATTTTTTTCAAACATTCATTAGATATTCATTAAAGACCGCACATTAGGCACCTGCCCCCAAATGACGACAACCACCACCACAACCATCACTGGAGTGATGGCTGGCAAGAGTACAGTGAAATGAATATTATCACTGATTTGGCAACAGCTCTTATGAAGAATAATTTGGCATTATGTATCAAGCGTCCATACTCTGACATAGTAATTGTTTTTCTGCTATTTATATCCTAAATAAATAATCCAAGTAAGGGTGGGAGCATTAATAATATAAGAAAATATTAGAAACTCGAATGTTGAAATGAAAGGGAATGGTTAAGTATGGTATAACCATTTAACAGAGTATTATTCTTTAAATAATACTTCAATATTCATTAAAATGACATTTATGGAGGTTAGATGCTTCAAATGTTAAAGGAAAAAAAGCAAGAAAAGTACAATATTAAGTTACATTGTTTTGCATGGCTGTAAAATAAACCCAAATCTTTAATGGACATATATTACCTTTATGGGTAAAAAAAAAAGTCCAATTTCTAACTTTTACTTTAGGCAGTGTTTTGCTTTACATCCTTTTTTGCAACTTTCTGTTCATCATTGGCTATGCAAGAAATATATGTCTAGTGAAGTTACAGCAACCTACACATTATTCTACAAAAGAGAACAGAGAAGCCCCAATTCACCAAAAGTTCCTAGAGTCCATGGCTCCGGTGGCTGCTTTTCTGCCAGTTACAATATAGCATAAAGTAACATTATTTAGGCAAGTTAAATATCCACTAACTTAGACAAGGACATTTGTTCTGGGATTCCTAAAACAAATGTGGTCTATATCAGCTCTGCCAAGATGTGGTAGAGCACTGTGCGTACTGCAATGACTTCCAGACAAGGCGAAAGCCTGCACTTGCAATTTCCATCGGTAGTTACATAATCTATTTTTATCTACTTACTTATACTTACAATTTGGAAGTTATTTCAAGGGGCAAAATTGAAGCAAGCGTTTTTGGGAAATAATTCCTTATTTAATACTAAAAATATTAAAAACTGTTAGAATCAAACATTTATGTTAATACTCTTTTTTAAAAAATAGGTCCAAAAGACTCAGCCCACATCAGCATTGAAGTTATATCAAGAATTAAGTTTGCTTCATGCCAATGAGCTGCTCCTTAGCAGGGGCTGGTTTTGTCATCTGAGGAATGACAGCCACTCTGTCATGTACACAAGAGAGCTGGATGGCATTGACACAGTCTTTCTCGTGGTTCTGAATTTTGGAGAATCATCACTGCTAAATCTAAAGGAAATGATTTCAGATATTCCCACAAGAGTGAGGATAAGGTTAAGTACCAATTCTGCCTACAAACGCAGTGAAGTTGACACGTCTGCCATTGTATTAGACAAGGGAGAAGGACACATCCTTGAATACAACACGAAGAATCTTCTTCATCACCAAACTGCTTTCAGAGACAGATGTTTTATTTCCAATCGGGCATGCTATTCCAGTGTGTTTAACATACTGTACAGCTTGTGTTAGGGCGCTTCTATGAAACAGATGAAGACACTAGCATTCTGTTCTCTCACAAGCATTTGCAGTAACTTCATGTACAGTCATTAATTCTTAGTTATTTCTGTAGTTTGAATGTAACTGCTTTAGGAAAGGTTCTCAAATGTTTCTAAAGAATAATAAAATGTTTAAAAGAAAATGATCGCGTGCACAAAACTTGTAATATTATTGAGATAGCCTCAATAAGAGTGATCAGAACACCTTGGGACTCCAGATTATTAGAATGATTTAATGAATTTGAATGTGAAGAATATTCTTTTTCCATAAAATGCAGGCATAGAAATTGGAGGGTGACTTGCTGCCCAAGTGTCAACAGCATTCACTAGCAAAGAGGCAGGACCTTGACTTGTAAACTGTTCAAAGAACATCTTAGTAAAATACACAAAAACAAGGCTGTTCTGATGGGGAAGGGAGAGTTCTGCTGTCACCAATCCTCCTTTCACCCTCTACTCCATGTCCTTCTAAGGAGCATGATTTGAAAACTACTTTCCTAGGCTAAGGGGCATCAATGGAGAGAACAGTATAAGCAAGTGAGATGTACACTAAACAAAATGTGGAGAAGCAAATTTTTAAAAATTATTTACTAACCTAAAAAAAAAAAAAAATCTCACTTTTGCTAACCCAATCAGAAATAAGACTGAACTATTTCAGTGTGTTTCCAATTCCCATTGAATGCAGCATTTCAGAATTTTAGATATTTCTTAAGATTCTCGAAAACACTGGTGCTGTCAAGTCCAAGTTCCTCGTATAGGAATTTAATTTGGGCTGTAATCTAAAAGAAACACATTTTAAAAATTAGACAGGCCTTTGTGCTAAAACTCCAATGTTCACATCTCCCTTTGTCCATCCATTTCACCTAACCCTGAAGTCAGTAATTTATGGCAGGGGTACTTTTATTTGGGAATTTATGGCAGGGGTACCTTTATTTGGACACAAGAAGACGGCTCCCAACAATTCAGATCCAATTGCTTTCTTTAACAAAGCTCTCTCATCAAATACAAGAAAGAGCCCTTTCTCTTGATTGACTCACTGTTTCTCCTTCTGCTCTTGGGTCTCAGCCACAGACCTGACAGTTGTGAAGCAGCTGTCATAAACCCTGCTGCAACCACTGAAGTGCTGAGTACCACACTTAGCTACTTAGGACAGGGATCTTAGATACTTAGGGATCTGTCAACAGAGAGGGCTTGATAACATACCTTCTTGTGAGAATCCTCGATCACGTGATTGCCTCCAGGCTGAATATCTAAAATAATGTTGGGGGTCTGATAGCCTGAAAGAATTAACGTATGAAACAATTAGAAAGTTTTTGGCCAATTGAGACCCATTTCTCCCAAAATAATAGTGAAGGAAAAAGACATAAACCACCACCACCACCAAGAAAGAGATGGGAGGGGGCAAGCAGTAGAAGACAAATTTCTGAAACAAAAAAAGCAGGAGGAAGCCTAGTGGCTGAGAAAGATGGATGGAAGAGACAACTGTAGGGCCCTATGGAGAAGGCTGCAACCCAGGAGAAGGCCAACTGGCCCTGCGGAATCTGAGTCTTGTGACCCGGAAACACCAACTATAGCAATGGGTGAAAGAGAGACATGGAGCTAAAGATACACGGGAACTGTCTGAAAACTTCTATGTGGGTGCCTCCCAGCCTGAGCCCGGAACGTTTTGGCACATCTTGGCAAGGAAAAAAGGTAAGAGTTCTTGTCTAACGAAATTTAAAGATCTAGAGAAAATTAAAGCAAATTGAATTTGGGCACTGATACTTCAGAGCAAAAACTTCAGAGTCTGTTTTAGAGGTTCCCAAGAATAATGGCTCAATTAATGTAGTTAAATGAATGAATGATTATATGATATTGTATCTCCAAATTATATTTGATATTTAAATTGACTATTTTCTTTATGTCTTGCCTACCTATTTTAATACTGTCCTTTGAAAAAGAAGAGAGGAACTTATAGTTATCTTATGTTTCAACTGGGTAGTCAACATAGGAGAAACAATTATTTGTCCAAAATCACAGGCAGATGATTTGGTGTGTAGCATAAAACACATTACTCGGCATGGTATTAACAGTCCATTTAGCTATGTTCCCTGCTTCCAGGAGCTCTCCTACCTTCACTGGGGTCCTTAGCATGCTCCATAATGGCTTCCTTGAGTTTCTCAGTATAGTTTACAATTCCTTTCAGAGGTACACGTTCGTCATTTTCATAAGCTGTGATGTGAATTGAAGGATAATGCTGAAAGTAAACAGATGTACAAAGAATTTATATTACTCCTATCCATCATATAGATTATGAAAAATAATTACCTTCAAATTTTTTTCCCTAAGTGTTAGATGATTTTTCATTTGATATTCTTGAGAGATCTACAGTATCATATTTGACTAGAGAGACCATGACTTCATCTAATCTTTTCTCCTCAGTTATTAAATTGAAACAAACATGAAGTATGAGCAGAGATGGTGCCGAAAGGTGTTTGGGTATTCTAAGTAGAAACAATCGAAAGCCCTACTAAATTCCTGCCTCAGCTTGCGTGAGGAACCTTCTGATTCCCCTTCCCCTCCTTATCACTTGAGGATGGCATATCAGAACTGTCTTTCACTACCTGAGGTTTAATATTTTGATAGGGACAGTAACGTTTTATGTAGTTCTTGTGTTTTTCATCAGATGAAGGATTCCCCCATTCTTCTAATTCTTCTAATGTCAGAGGAAGTGTAGTGTCCATCATGGTGTTGAGAACATCCAAGAAAGGTGCCTAAAAAATAAAGCCAAAGAAACTTAAACTTTGATTAACAACTTGGTAAAATGAATTTCAGAGAATTATTATACTTTATAAATATACATGCTGACATGAGAGAACCACGTTCAAGAAACCATGTAGATTCCCAGAATCCAGACTAATTACTTAGTCCTTAACAAGGGCCTGTGATTTATTGGCTTTTAGTGTATTCAGGCTCCTTAAATGACAATTATATAAAAAGAAAGTGTTTATCTTCTGATTTCACAATTTTTGTTTTTAGTTGGTGCATTCTATATATATATATATATATATATATATATATGTATATATATGTATATATATTATATAAAAGTAGTAAATGCTACTACCTCACATCCATTAGGGTAGCTACAATAAAAAAACCCCCAAAAAATAACAAAACAAGTGTCAGCAAGGATGTGGAAAAATTGGAACCCTTGTGTACTGTTTGTAAGAATGTAAAATAGTGCAGACAGTATATTGTTTTCTCAAAAAATTAAATTTAGAATTACCATATAATAAAGCAATTCTATTCCTAGGTATACACCTAAAAGAACTGAAAGCAGGGTCTCAAAGAGTACACGCAGGTTCACAGCAGTACTAGTCACAAGAGCTAGTCACTGTCTTTCACTACCTGAGGTTTAATATTTTGATAGGGACAGTAACGTTTTAGCAAACCCAAATGTCCATCGATGGATGAATGGGTAAGCAAAATACACATACAATGAGACTAGGGAATATTATTCAGCCTTAAAAAGAAGGAAATTCTGACACATGCTTCAACACAATGGACCTTGAGGACATTATGTAAGTGAAATAAACCAGTTACAAAAGACAAATATTGTACGATTCCATCTATAGGAGGTAGCTTAAGAGTAGTCAAATTCATACAGACAGAAGGTAGAATGGGGGGCCAGCCCGGTGGCGTAGTGGTTAAGTTTGTGCAGTCCGCTTCAGCAGCCTGGGATTTGTGGGTTGGCATCCTGGGCACAGACCCACACCTGCTCATCAGGCCATGCTGTGGCAGCGTCCACATACAAAGTAGAAGAAGACTGGCGCAGATGTTAGCTCAGGGAAAATTTTCCCCAAGCAAAAAGAGGAAGACTGGCAACAGAGCTTAGCTCAGGGCCAATCTTCCTCACACACACACAAAAAAGTAGGATGGTGGTTCCCAGAGGCTGGGGGAAGGGCAAATTAGGGAGTTGCTATTTAATGGGTATAGAGTTTCAGTTTTCCAAGATGAAAAAAGTTCTGGAAGTTGATTGCATAACAATGTGAATATACTTAACACGACTGAACTGTACACTTAAAAATGGTTAAAAATTAAAACTAAAACCCCAACAACACGTGAACAAACTCTTCTTCACCAGTTCGACATTTTATATTAAGAAAAAGGTAATAAATGCTAATAGAAGAAAATCTGGAAACCACCCAAGTTGAAAGAAGAGAAAATCACTCATTGGCTTACAACCAGTGTTATAACATTTAATAAAATGGCAGCTGCTTTTTTCACTTAGCCTCATAGTCTTTTGTTAACATGCTTTTCAGCCTTTTCTTGTATTAACATTAACCAAGTATAGTGGGCAAATGTAAGTATCTTTGGCTGCCTAGCATCTGAACTCCTTTTCTGTATTTAGAGTAACCCTAACCTTACGAGAGCGAGCCTGTCTCTCACTGTAGACGTACTAAATGCCAGAGAGTTCCTTTCCCAGCTTTTCCTACCGCGTGAGAGGAGCCACTAGACCCAGGTCCACCACTCAGACATAATGTGCTCCACACTGAATGGAAAGTTAGTGACTCGAAGAAGCAGGAAGCACAGAAAATTTGTTCTGGTGAAAGTGACGCAGCTATATCAAGTTTCTAGAAGCAGCACTAGCAATGTGAGGTGACTTGTGACCAGCAGTGATAGCTTCACTGGGCCAGTTTTATGGTATATTTGGGATATATTTCTGGTTCTATGCCCACCCTTACCTAATACCCTTTAATAAATCCCTTTGCTGCTGAAATTAGTCAGAGTTGGTTTTTGGTGCTTCTAATTAAGAATTTTGACTCATCTATGAATCCTCTATTGTTGGATATTTAGGTTGACTCCAATTCTTCACTATTATAGGCACACGGATAAATATCCTTACACATATATTTCTGATTATTTCCTTTCTATAAGTCAACATAATTTCTAAAAATCAAAGGTAAGTTGCATTTTGTTTGTACTGTAAATAATCCTGCCATTATCATCTTTGTTCATAGGTTTTTTCCCCTCCATATTTAGTATTCCTATTAAAAATATAGATTTACAGATCAGGATTATATAACACCTATTTACTTTTAATACAAGCCCAGAGCGTGTACTACCCCCAAAATAAAAAAACCTGAAAACAATTTACTCTCTCCATCCAAATCATTATTTTCTAGTGTATCTAACCAGGAAGCAGGAGAATCATGGAGGTGAAATGAGGTGCTATTATGTAACTGCATAATTTGGGACACAAGGAAAATATACAACCTTTTCAGAAGAGAGTAAGATATTTTAATTAAAGTACAGAAAAAATACCCCTAAAGGCTATTAAGAATGGAGTATCTAAAAAGTGATACCCCTAAATCCAGGACTGACGTGATGATGGGCAGTGGAGTCCTTGGATTTTGGGCCTTCTAGAGCCACTACGTGCTCTGCCTGCCTTCCTAGAACTGGAGAGTCATATATGCTTTGTCTCTTTTCCACCAACTCTAAATGTTCTTATAAACAGAAAATGATCAATGGGAATAGCCGTTAATATCCTTCAGTGGAAATCATTCAAAATTAATAAAGAATGCTGTCAGAGAAGAGTAAGTAAAGGGTAAGTAGTTGGATTAAAAGAACTTCAGAAGTTCTCCCAGAGCTACAATTCTGTGTTTAAAATTTAAAAGCTTTGTTACACTCCTGTGCTATGGTAAAACTGTAACAGAACTTTTTTTCTTAGAGCAGTCTATGGCTTCACACCTCCCCATTGTGTAAACAACAGAGATAGAGTGTACTCACCTCCAAAGTCACGGCTCTCAGGAGCTCCGGACTAGAATTACACAATGCTCCTACAAGCACCCCTCCAGCACTGAAAGCAGTCAGGGTTGTTAGACTTGGCTGAGAAAAGCCTTGGCCATGAAGCGTCTTAATGCAAGCCTCTAAGTCAGCAAGGCCATTGAGTTTTTTAGTTAGACGGCCATCAGCGTGCCACTGGAGGCCTAACTCACCACCACCCCTGAAATTAAAGGGCAAAACAGTTTTAGTGGGGAAAAAATATGAATGATATAGGTCAGGGTCAGTAAACTACAGCCTGTAGGCCAGATCTACCCAGAGGCCTGTTTTTCATGGCCCTTGAGCTAAGAAGGGTTATGCAACAGAGACCATATGTGGCCTACAAAGCCTAAAATGTTTACCATTTAGTTTCTCAGAAAAAAGTTTGCCAATCCCTGATAGAGATAATCAAAAATTGATTCAACAAATACGTTTTGAGTGCCTGCTTACAATATTAGGCATTGTGCTAAATGCAGGCCTTAAAAATATAAACAAGCAAAAATCTGGATAAGGGGATAATTTTGTGGGGAATGGAAACAGTTACCAAGCAATGTGGTTACTGCTATGACACAAGTGTACTTAAGGTATCACAGAAGCAGAGGAAAGAACATCCACCTGTCAGGTCAGGTGTCTATACAGGAGTCAGGAACACAAATGCTGAAGAAGGAAATGATACTTAAGCCGAGTCTTGAAAGACATAGCATCTGCAAGAGCACAGAGGGGAAGGAGCTTGTCATCTGCAAGGATGTAGCAAGGTTGGACATGGAGGCGGTGCAGGGCTGGAGCGCAGCCCGTGTCTGGGGAGTGAGGACAGATGCCACTACAGAATAAGCCAGACCACTAGGATGTTAAACACTTACTGAAGAATCTGAATTTTACTGTGGAGATTGGGAGGTGGTGAAGGATTTTAAGCAGAAACATAAAATAATATTTGTTTCTTGAAAACAACTAAAATAAAATGGAAGTCAGAGTGGAAAAAAGTCCAGCTTAAAAGCCTATTTTAGAAAAATATAAACTCAGAATTAAATGGAAGTTATAATGTTACTAAATATGGAGACTGGTACATCTATTCTAAAAATCCTAAAAATCTGGTACAAAATCCTAAAAATCTACTCCTTTGCGTTTTGGATCAACTAATCTATTACCGAATCAAGTTCTACCAGTATAGGTTTAGGAATACATATATTCAACAATACAAATGAGAAAATAAACTTTTGCTCCCTGATAATTGTTATTCTGGGTATCTGTCACAATGCTCTAGCACTCACAGGCCAGGTAAAATGTGCTGACTCACCGAACATGGCAATATGCTAATATCCATCCATCATCCACCAACACTCGCCTTTCAGGCCTGAAATTCATTTTCAAGTCCATTCCATAAGCTCCATATACATGTACCAGGAGAGGTTTCTTTTGCAAGTCCTCAGAATCCGTTTTGTGGAAAACAGTCATTGGCACTAATTTTCCATCCTGGAAATGAAGATTTACTGTGCATGTAAAGAAGAGTCTTTTCAAACAGTTTTATCCCCAATTTTATGCACTGCTTATTGATGTTGAGCATAAACTCCACTCAATTAAGACAAAAGAGTTACGGTCTCTAAAAATCCATTATGGTCCTTATTTTCAGCTATTCTGTTGACTTAAATTAACTAGAAAAGAACAGAAAGACTCTGGCTTGAAAACAGTTTATTTAATGCAGCTTTTCCTGACAGTAAAGTGATTTTAAGGAGTTCTTCACTACCCAGTATTACTGTAATTTTTTCCTTTCAGGACAAGCCAAAATACCTATCAAAGTTAGATATACTAGCATAGCATTCTTCCTATACGTAGGCCTACATACTGGCGTTTCTCATCTTTGAATATTTACAAATATGCTAACTGAAGAAGTTTTAATAGCTCAATTTAATGTCCTCTATGGTCAGAATTCTCAACCATTAGGACCTGAAATTTCCTACTGACTTTACTGACACCACCCACATCCTCTTCAAAGGCCTATTTAACTTCATTTTTTTATAAATCTTAACACTTAAATTACTTTTATGGCAGGTAATTATTCCTCAACGCAGGTCACACTCATCGATCCCAATTGACTGAATCTAGGCACTCTCTGGAAAGACAAATTGGAGATAATCTGAACTATTTCTGGTCTTCCTTTCATAGAAAAAGGGTAGAAAAGTTGATTCTCACCCTGCATACAGACACTAACGAGATAGTACTAGTTTACTTAAGGAAAATAATACAACCAAGCCACTCTCCCTACTTTTTTTTTTTGTAAGGAAGATTCGCCCTGAGCCGACATCTGCTGCCAATCCTCTTTTTCTTTTGCTTGAGGAAAATTAGCCCTGAGCTAACATCTGTGCCAATCTTCCTCTACTTTATATGTGGGATGCCTCCATGGCACGGCTGAGCTAACATCTGTGCCAATCTTCCTCTACTTTGTATGTGGGATGCCTCCACGGCACGGCTGATGAGTGAAATAGGGCCGCACCAGGGATCCGAACCTGCGAACCTGGGCCACTGAAGTGGAGCACAGAACTTTAACCACTTGGCAACAAGGCCAGGCCCCACTCTCCCTATTTTTTTCATTCTCATTTTGAAAACTTCACTTTGGGGTTCTGAGTGTTATCAAATAAGGAAAAACTCTTCCTCTCATTATTCTTTTTCATAATCAACTTATGACAGTGTAACTGAATTTTCATTTCTCAGTAAGATTCATTCTTATAAAATGATGTAGGTTAATTTCTATAAAATAATCTCAGTCTTTTTCTTTCCCTACCTCCTCCCTAACTTCAATTTAACAAGCAGAAAAAAACTTGCTGGTTGAAAACTTATGAAAACGAAGAGGTAAGGATGGCAGCAAGTTGTACGATGGGCTGGATCCCAGAGTTCACCAGCAGTTCAAATATGCCTGTAAAGTTATAGCAGCTTCCAGTTAGCAGCTGCTTCTCCTCTTCCCTAACGCGTAAAGAATCTCTTGGCTCTCCAAGAACTCAGCTTCATGGTTCTTTCTGTTTGGGGTATAATAATTATAACATTTTGATAGACTGGATAAATCCTATGTCTGTAAAACAAAACAAAGCCTAAATATATGTATTTTGTTGACAAAAACCAAAAATCTGGAGGGTGATACACTAAATGGTTAAGAATGATTATTTCTAAGAGGTACAGAAAATGGGACTGAAAAGTAGTCCTTTAACTTTACACAGTCTGTATTTTTGCATTTGTTATAACAAGCATGTATTGCTTTTGTTAATATTAAAATATTTGCTTAAATAAAGATATCAAAAGAAAAGCAGTGAATTAAAGAAAAAATTCATAAGGAAAAAAGGCTTGTGTCTCAATTCATTCTTTGTCAGCACATGTGAAATTATCTGATGTATTACATGGTAAGGTCTGAAAATTCCTTAAATAAGGCCACAGTTTATATACTAATTTGTTCCTCAGTTGCACAACTCTTCTTTCCTATTTCTTACTTCCCCGTCCAGCTAATCTTCCTTCTTTTACTCTATACTTTGGCCATATTGTCCTCCTTTATACTTCCTAAATGTACCATTTCTCCCTCAGTTCAGGTCCTTAGCACAAAATGAGATCCTCCTGTCCCCTTTCTAGCTTTACTCGTAATCATCCTAGAGTTCTCTCCTGAGACATTACTTCCTCAGAGAAGCCTTTGCAGACCTCTCCAGACCAGTAAGGTCTCTTTGCCCTGTTTCCACTGGACTCAGCATGTCTTCCTTTGCAGCCATCAGTACATCAGTAATTATTTCTTCAACATCAGTCATCTTCCCCGCTGGATTGAAGCTCCATGAGGGCAGGGGCTATATTAATCTAGTTCACTCTAGTGAATTGCTTACCACCTGTGCAATTTTTGCCTTAACTGCATATCAACTTTGACTATTTTTTCTTAAAATCACCTTTTAAAATTCAAATATAAACAACATGCAAAGTCAAGGGCTTGATGTGCTAGTTATAAATTTTTTTATCCACATTAAACTAAGTATCTAAGGACAATACTTGACAAATAGTACGCTTTCAGTAAATGGGGGCTGATAGAGATTACAGAGACTTACCTTGCTTTTGGCTTCTAGACGTAAAACACGACTAGTCTTTGTGATGGGGTCTTCATGCCCAGTTTCTTCAAACAGTTTGCCTTCTGCAAACTTATATGTGTAATATTTTGGGGGACGTATTGGAGAGCAAAGCTGAAAGGGGCAGTTCTTTGGGTCCGAATTTGTATCCATTATGAATCCACAGGCCCAAGGAGGGAGCTAAAGAAATAACAGTTTTACTCTCTATCTAGACACTAAGTATCATTAATTAAATTTCTGGGTCTGCTCCAAAAAAGATGATGTGGACACCAAGTGTACTTCTATCCATTATCATATAATGCCTCATTTAAGGATTACTTCAGCACAACAAAATATATTTCAAGTAAAAAACAAATAAAACTCTACACTAATGACCAACAAAATAAGGAAAAGTTAGAGAGGCAAATGGTTTATCAGAATTCTGGATTTACACAAAATTTCCTTTAACAAAAAAGTTTATTGTGGGGTCTAAACTTGGGCAACGAAATAGCAAAATGATTAAGAATAAGAACAAACCAAATAGTAATTCCAGAACCCAGCAACATTGCCAAGATCTCTGTTCTCATAGAACATGAAATCGCGCATATGTGTTTTTAATAATTTACCCATCAGCCCTTACTCTGCTGCCTGGACAGCCCCAGTGATGACGGTTATTATTCCAGGGCTACAAACTGGCTCAGCAGCACTAAAGCATTTACAATTTGTTTCTAACTTTAGCTCCCAGGCTAACCATTGTGCAGAACAAAACCTTTCCTGGCACATCCACTCTGAGAGACTCACGGCTATTATGATTAAGATTCTTAACTTTAAGAAAAAGGAAAAGGAATCAAAATTTATTCTCTCCGAGCAGCAGGGTCCAGCTTCAAGCCTTCCACTAACATCCCTCTTACACCTTTTAAAGAACTCTGGTAAGCAGGCTGACGGTGTGTTAGAAATGGTACTGAGAGTCAGAACATTAAAAAGAAAATTGCCTTTCTTTTCCTGAGTAATTGTAGACAGAGCAAATTCCTTAGAAAATCAGAGGTTTTGGCACAGCTATGTCACTGGTGGGCACTATTCAGAAAAGGTAGGTGGGGGATGTGCATAAAGAGTGCACCATTTAACCTGGAGAAACTACGGCCAAAGAGCTTATATTTATAGAGCAAATTTCTTATAATTAACCCAAAGAATCTATTTTCCTGAAACACTAATAAGGACATACATTTGAAATGTCTCTCTGAAAGAGTTCCTAATTTATTCTCCTCGGACTGAGGATTATTTTCAAGGATAGTTTGTTTATTTAAATACAAGCCCTATCTGGAAAGAAAAGTGTAATCATGAAAGTTGGGCTATCGGATAGCATAACTGAAGTCAGCAAATTGAAACCTTGGGGAAAAGAAATGAGGAAGCATTGCCACTAACCTTTACTTAGGCCTCAGACTGAGGGCACAAGGGTCCTCAGCCCACAGAGGCACAAGCTTCTCCTGCCCTTTGGTGAGACTTTAAAACAGTTTCCATGTGACCCACGTAGTATACTGTCTTAGTTTTAGACCAAGTGGTTCCAGTAAATCAAAGTCTTTGGGGTATATTTCTTAAACTAAAGAAACCAAGGTTCAAGTTTTAATCATAATAAAAACTGTTACAAGTCTATGCACTTTTTAAAGTTTGTCCAGCTGATGCAGAAATTCGTATTAACTATCTCAAGCATATCTTATGCCACATTTCCTATTAAGATATGCATGCAGTATCATCCGTGTAGATTAATGGATAGCACCCGAGGATAACTGTAAGTTGGCCAGGTGATAGGCAGATATTCCTTAGATACTTTGCAGAAACAGGTTCAGCTTTAGCAATCTACCAGTAAACTACAGTCATTTCATTAAAAAATTTATTAAGACATACATGCTGAAAGAAAATCAGCCCAAGTATGCAGACTCCTCCAAATGTATTGCACAAAGCAAAAAATTTCCCAATTTGCTTAAATTAAATAACAATTAAAATATTGTAACTTCTTTTTGTGAAGAAAAGAAATTACCAGGAAATACTGATGATATGATGACCAAGAAGAGAAGGCAAGTGTATTAAAGGTTTTACATTTCCATCACTGAGGCCGAGTTGTCTTGTTTTTTTTTTTTAGATTTTATTTTTCCTTTTTCTCCCAGAGGCCCCTGGTAGTTACATATTTTAGCTGTAGGTCCTTCTAGTTGTAGCATGTGGGACACCGCCTCAGTGTGGCCTGATGAGCAGTGCCATGTCTGCGCCCAGGATTCGAACAAGTGAAAACCTGGGCTGCTGAAGTGGAGTGTGTGAAATTAACCTCTCGGCCATGGGGCCGGCCCTCTGAGGCTGAGATTTAAAATATCTTTTAGTCAATTGTCCACTCACTGGGCAGAGATGTTACATATAGAAATACTTTATAATCCACTCACAGTTTAGCTTAAAGATTTTGTTCTCTGACTATGGCACTGTCTGTGCACACTGTTATCCAGTTCATGAAAAGGCTCTGATCTATAAAATTCTCTGTAAGTAGCAACTGATACATAATATAGTATTTGATTCCACGTGAGGATGACTCAGAACATTATATAAGGCATAATAACTACTACAGGTTGGGAAGGGTCAAATCTTATTATAGCAGAGTAAACTCTCATGACATTCCTAATTCTCTTGACAGAATTTTGTTGTAATAAATGCACTGCTGGAAATTATGTATTTTCTCCCATCCCTATTCATATAGACTGTAATAAGAATCGATGCTCTGCCAGTTCCCCAAATGAAGATGTCTGAATTCGGCATCAATTAGCAAGTGAAAAGACACACTCTGAATCCAGTAGGTGAAGGCGATAAGAACACCGCTAGAATAAAATCACCATTTTTGTTTTAGGACATCTATAGAGTCTTCTAAGACACCAGACGTTACATTTGATAATTTTATTTTACGAAGTAGCTGGAAAATTTTGGTTGGTTTAGGCCCTCGTTATTTCTTATTTATACCACTATCACAATCTCAAAACTAATCTTCCTGCCTCTTATCTCTCGTTCAGTGTACCCTAAAACGTCTGCCAGATAACCTCATCAAGCACATAGCTCAACTCCTCAGATGATTCCCCTGTCCCAAAACTTCAAACGTTCCCCTCTTCATAATTTAGGCATGAATTCATCACCTTGACTGTCAAAGAATGTCAAATCTTAGCTTCACCCCCAAGAAATCTTATTCTGCTTCAATAAAATGGAATTATTAGCAGTTTCCTGAACATTTTCCCAACTTATCAGCTTAGAGCTTCATTTGATGGAATTTCTTATCCTGGAATACCATTCCCTCCCTGCCCATCAAAATCCTACCTATCCTCTTTAGTTTATCTCAAACTCTACTTCCCCTACAAAAGCTTTCCTGGGCTCTCTTCCTCTCCTTTGGGCCCCACAGTACATTTTCTGTTTTTGACACCACTTATTTAAACCCACCTTATACTTAATCTTTGTGTACTAGTCTAATCTCACTGATCAACTGTATCCTTAAGGTCAGATATTTTGTCCTGCTATCTTTCTACTCCAGACTGCCCAATACAGGACTTTGCACAAAGAGGTTCAACAAATATCCAGTCAATTTACTGGCATTGCATTTTAATAGAAATTGTGACAATATTGCAGTTAGGGAGGTCTAGGTGGTCTACGCTTGCTGGTCAACTGGCTCCACTACACTTGCCATACCAAGCAAAATGGAGACCTATCCTCTTTCCTCCAGTGCTTGTTATTTTGTTTTTAAAGATTGGCCCTGAGCTAACATCTGTTGCCAATCTTTTTTTTTCCTTCTCCCCCAAAGCCCCCCAGTACATAGTTGTATATTTTAGTCGTAGGTCCTTCTAGTTCTCCTATGTGGGACACCGCCTTAGCATGGCTTGATCAACAGTACTAGGTCTGCGTCTAGGATCCGAACTGGCAAAACTGTTGGCTGCCAAAGCAGAGCGCGCAAACTTAACCATTCGGCCATGGAGCTGGCCCCCAGTGCCTGTTATTTTAATTCACATGTTAATACTGCTTTAAAACTGGGCAGTAAGACTGCCTTTCACTAATTTTAGCAAGTCCACTTGTGGAGGCAGATTATCTTTCCTGGCAGCGACAGGCAATGTCAGCGAGTGAGCATGCCAAGCAGACGTGCCACCATCACAGCTATGTTGCAATGAAGACCATGCCACCCCCTTATTGAAAGAAATCGAAGTTCACCCTGCTCCTGATCCCCTGTGGGTGAGAAAACTGGCAGAGAGATGATGCAGACAGCAGCATGCAGTGCCAGAAACACAGTGGGCATGACTCCTAACCTCACTGGGGGTGTGGGACGGGAGCAGTAGGTAGCAGTTAGGCACTAGCTGCCAAGTTGGCCTGCGTTATTACTCTATCTGAAGTCGGAGAGATATGTAATATAGAGAGATATGTAGAAAGATAAATATAATAGCACTTTACTTCTGAAGTTCATGCTATATGACAGTATTTTAAGTAAAACTGCATTAAAAGCAAGGTCCTTTAAGAAATTCTCAAGTAAACCTCCTAAACCTGATAAAGACCCACTATGCTAAATTCCATTTAAATTCTTTTTAAGAAAAAGTACACTGCCATTATTCAAAACTTAATGTTCTGTTAAGCTAAATGGCATGTATTTTGATTAACAGTATTGTCTTTCGGAAGTGAAACATACCTTTAGAGACCGAACTGAATCATCAGCCAGACCAATCACGTTAACATAAAGCAGATTGCTGTGCTTCAGGAATAGAACGCAGTGATCCTTAAACATGTCCAAGTCTACGACTTTGGTATTTCTCTTCATTGTGAAAAATAAATCCCAATTCATAATAGCAGGGGTATCAGCTGCTGTTCTCATTAGCTGTGTGGAATAAAGTTAGAAAAGATCTAGGTAACAGAACATGATGACTACAGCATCGGGAGATAAAATCACTGAAAACTAGACCATAGTAGTCGTCAGTGTTCTTTTTTTTTTTAAAGACTGGCACCTGAGCTAACAACTGTTGCCACTCTTTTTTTTTTTTTCTGCTTTATCTCCCCGAATCCCCCCTGGTACAAAGTTGTATATCTTAGTTGCAGGTCTTTCTAGTTGTGGCATGTGGGACGCTGCCTCAACGTGGCCTGACGAGCAGTGCCATGTCCACGCCCAGGATCCGAACCAGCGAAACCCTGGGCCGCCGCAGCAGAGCGTGCTAACTTAACCACTCGGTCACGGGGCCAGCCCCCGTCACTGTTTTATAAAGAGCTGAAGGAGCTAACTCTGCATCAGGGCTGAAGTATGACCATCACCATATGAAAGAGCCCAGGCTAGCCTGCTGAGTGGTGAGACAGTGTGGCCCAGTGCTTAGCTGACAGCCAACATTTGTGTGAGGGCATTCACAGGCAGCTGACTGTGGAAGTTCAGTGAGCTGAGATTAGCAGAACTGCCTAGCTGAGAGCAATCCAAATTGCTAACTCATAGAATCACGAGTTTATAAAAGTTTGTTCTTTTAAGCCATTAAATTTGGCTTTGACAACTAATATAATCAGGATAGAATATGTTTACTAACCTTTTTAGGCACAATTAACATATATAGACATATTGGCTCAAGAGGAAGAGAAAAGGGATGGATTACACATAGGAAGGTAGCATCAATTTCTATACTTTACCAAAAGGCTAAAAAACAATTAACTCAGAGCAAGAAACGTTGTCGATGGAAGTGTGATACTTCTTAACAGCCCAAATGGGACAAGGAGAATACAGGATTACCTTGAATTCTGTAGGCTCGCCAACATTAGTGAGAATGTATAATTCATCATCTCTGTGTTCAACGTAGTAAAGGACCCCATGTATTCGCTTCTGGATAAGTACTGGTGGGTCCCAAGGGCTTAGGCCATCTATCAACCACACTTCAGAAGTGGTCTTGTTCATAATATTTATGGTGAGGAAACGACTGTCCTTTGTCAGATAAAGGAAAACAAAATAGCTACAGAGAGAGAGACAGAGAGAAAGGGGTTGGGGGGACAGGGGACATGAAAATCCAATAAATTTCAAATGCATGTTACTTTGTTAATGACAATATCTCACAGGTGGTCAGCATATATGCTAATTTGTAATGGAGATAGAAAATAAAAACAACTCCTTAGTGAATACTGCTTGTAAACTAAAAAACTGGCTATTATTTTTCTCATTTCTCCTCCAAAGGCATTCAAAATAATTTTTTCTCTAACATTTTATCATGAACATGTGTGTTTTCAAACACACAGAAAAGTTGAAAGAAATGTAAGGTGAGTAGGTACTCATATACCCACCATGAAGATTCAATCATTGCTAACATTTTGTTCTATTTGCTTTATCACATTATCTATGCATCTTTTTTTGAATGCATTTCAAGGTAAACTACAGACATCATCTAACTCTCACTTAATCATGTTAATAGATTACAGGCCTTTTTGCTATGAAGAGAAAATAAACTTCCTAGAGGAGATATGTAACTGTAGGAAAGAAAAGGGACACAGAGTTTACTTTGTTTTTCCTCCGTACGCACATTGGATTTCCTTTTCTCCCTCTCTCCTAGTTTTTACAACAAAACAGAAAAATAGTCAGGAAAAAAACCCCTTACAATCTCACTAACCTAAAATGTTTTAAAAATTAACTTCTAAATACAGATGCAATTTTGGATTCTACATTTTTTATTTCACATAATATCAATATCTCCCCCATTAGTTACAGTCCTTATGATCATCATTATTATTATTATTTTAAAGATTGGCAACAGTGCCAATCTTCTTTTTTTCTTTTCTCCTTCTTTTCCCCAAAGCCCCCCAGTGCACGGTTGTATATTCTGGTTGTAGGTTCTTTTGGTTGCACTATGTGGGACACTGTCTCAGCATGGCCTGATGAGTGGTGCCATGTCCATGCCCAGGATCCAAACTGGGAAAACCCCTGGCCCCTGAAGTAGAGTGCATGAACTTAACGACTTGGCCACGGGGCTGGGCCCATGATCATTATTTTTAACGGCTACCTAATATTCTATTAGGTGGAATTATCACCATTCTTAAAAACTGATTTCAATGTTTCATTGTAAAAAAAAAATATGAAAGGGAACATATTCGTGAAGACAGTTTCCCCCTCCTTGACCTTTATAATTATCACCTTAGGATACATTCTTAGGAAAGAAAATACTATTTTAATGATTAAGAGTATTTTTATGACTTGTGATAAATATAACCAAATAATATCCCAACAGCATTATACTAACTTACACCGACACACTGAATGGCTTTAAATGTTATGTTTACATATTGCCTTATTATAAAAATAACATACTGAAAAATATAAAGAAAGATGATAATCCTAAATCCCACTACTCAGAGACAAGCATGTCTAACAGTTTGGTAAAATTCCTTCTGTACCGATTTACATCACCATGTTTGTCAATGTTATTTCTTCTGTGATATGTTTATGTCCATTTTAATCATGGTGATACAGTTTAAATTACTGGTCTATAAATAAACATCTCTTTATAAAGTAAAGATATAAACTTGTCCTTTTGTTGTAAATACTTTCCTACCTTTTGTCATCTGGATTTTAATTGTTTACAATTGGTTTCTTATTTAAGAGTTTAATATTTTAGTTAATCAATAACACCACCCTTTGTAATTTCTTCTACTGATTTTATGCTTTGGAAATATTTCAACCAAGTTGAATGAAATATTTATATTTTCATCTAGTTTTTTTTGAATGGTTTTATTTTTTATTTTTTTCAGATGTACATCATATTTTGAATTCTGGATACATTACATCATGTTTACCACCCGAACACTAATTATAGTGCATCCCCTCACATGTGACCCTAATCACCCCTTTTGCCCTCCCACCTCCCCCCTTCCCCAATGGTAACCACCAGTCCAATCTCCAATGGTATGAGTTTTTTTTTTTTCTGTCGTTTTTATCTTCTACTTATGAGTGAGATCATATGGTATTTGACTTTCTCCCTCTGACTTATTTCACTCAGCATAATACCCTCAAGGTCCATCCATGTTGGCACCAATGGCCGGATTTCATCATTTCTTATGGCTGAGCAGTAGTCCATCGTGTATAAATACCACATCTTCTTTATCCTTGAATGGTTTTATTTTTATGAATAGATTATTTAAATCTTTTAGGAGTATATGTGATGTATGAAGTGTTGAAAACTAGTTTTGTCCAAAAGGTTAATATTTCCCACAGCATTTTAAAATAATACCCATTCACTTTTCATTAGTTTGTGATGCCTCTTTTATCCTAAGTTTTTATACATACTAGGGTCTGTTTTAGAGTTCGCTCTTCTGGTCTCTATTATTTGTCTGTTCATTTGTATTATTTTAACTGTTGTAGCTTCATATATGGTTACAGGGCAAGTCCCCTATCCTACTTTGCTCTCTATTTTCAACATTTTCTTTCCTATTTTTATCTATTTATTTTTGTCTGATGATGACACAGGTAATCAGAAGATAAATTACTTGGTCAATTATTTGGCAGATACATGGTTACAGGGAAGAAAGAACACAAGTGGCTCTCTAGTAACAGCTTTCTTAGAAAGAGAAGACAAGTCATGGTAACCACAAAGCGAAAACCTATAGTAGATACACAAAATATAAAGAGAAGACAATCAAACCACACTACTATAAAAAAATCACCATTTCACAAAGGAAGACAGTAAGAAGGGAGGAAAGGAACATGGCAACTACAAAAGTCAGAAAACATTATTAAGATAGCATTAGTAAGTCCTTACCCATCAATAATTACTCTAAATGTAAATGGATTAAATTCTGCAATCAAAAGGCATAGAGTGGCTGAATGGATTGAAAAAAAAGACCCAACTATATGCTGCCTATAAGAGATTCACTTCAGCTTCAAGGACACACACAGGTTCAAAGTGAAGTGATGGAAAGTTTTCCACACAAGTGGAAACCACAAGAGAGCAAAGGTAGCCATACTTACACCAGACAAAACATACCTTAACTTAAAAGCTGTAACACGAGATAAAGAAGGCCACTATATAATGATAAACGGGTCAATTCATCAAGAGGATATAATAATCATAAATACACTCAACATCAGAATACTCACATATATTAAGCAAACAGTAACAGATCTGAAGGGAAAAATAGACAACAATACAATAACAGTAGGGGACTTCAATACCCCACTTTTAACAATGGATAGATCATTCAGGCAGAAAATCAATGAGGAAACATTGGATTGGACTATACTTTAGAACAAATGGATCTAACAGACATACAGAACAGTCCATCCATCAGCAGCAGAATATACATTCTTTTCAAGTGCATATGAAATACACTCCAGGACAGATCACATGTTAGGTCACAAAACAAATCTTAACAGGAGGAAAACAGGAAAATTCATAAATATATGGAAATTAAACAATATACTCTTAACCAATAGGTCAAAGAAGAAATCAGAAAGGAAATGAAAAAAATCTTGAAATAAATGAAAATGAAAAAACAACAAATCAAAACTTATGGGATGCAGCATAAGCAGCTTGAAGACAGAAGTTTATAGCAATAAACACCTACTTAAGAAAAAGAAAGATCTCAAATGAACAACCTAACTTTACCACTCAAGGAATTAGAAAAAGATGCAAGTCATAAAGTCATTTTGGTGAACTTTACTTGTGAGAACAGAAAACTGAAACCTGGGGATCAAACCAAACACAGTAAAAAGCACCTCAGTGTCTTGGAAGCATTATGAAAACCTTTAATCCATTTTCCCTTTAAGAATTCTGCTTTTCGGGGCTGGCCTGGTGGTGCAGTGGTTAAGTTCATACGTTCTGCTTAGGTGGCCTGGCATTTGCTGGTTCGGATCCCAGGTACGGACATGGCACCACTTGGCAAGCCATGCTGTGGTAGGCGTCCCACATATAAAGTGGAGGAAGATGGGCATAGATGTTAGCTCAGGGCCAGTCTTCCTCAGCAAAAAAGAGGACTGGCAGCAGACGTTAGCTCACAGCTAATCTTCCTCAAAAAAAAGAATTCTGCTTTTCCCTTTTGGTCCTTCCCTTTGGATTTGGGTCTGTTTATAACGTATTCAGAATCCACAAACCAGTTTGTGCTGTGGATCAGGGATCTGAATACCAAATTAGACTTAAGCATATTTAATTATGGTTAGTTCCTTATAGGGCAGAAAAAAACATACTAGAAGCCAAATACTTTCCAAGAATTTGAAACGTATATGTGATCACTCACTTAATCTTAGAACTTAGGACAGTAACAACATATGGCAAACAAGTAGCTTATTCAAGAGTATAATTCACTGGGCCAATATTGAGCTTTATTCACAAGATGGAAAATGGTTCACAATCCAAAGTCATCAATATAATGTAATGAATTACTAGCTTAAACTATCATCTCCAAAAGAGATCCTTGACAAATGACCACAAAACAGTGGAATCATATGAACAGTTCTAGTAATTTCTCATTAAAACAATCATCATCAGAAAAAAATCCAAAACAATGACAGCACTACTGGACCAAAAGCGCTAGTTCTATGGGCTGGAATAATGTAATTTCTCCAGACCTCAAATTCTTAATATAAACTAGGGGTTGTACAAGATTTTCCTTAAGGTCCTTGTCAGCTCTGAGATTTTATGAAATCAAGGATTAATTTTCTCGTTTGGGTATCAACTTCATTGTCATAGATGTGGTGTAAAATCCCCCTTTTGTTTTTCTTGCAACATCTGTTCAGATATTGTCCAAACTATACTGCTAAATGATGTAGGAGGTAACAGGACACTGGTGTTAAGGAAAAATTTGTTTCTCCTAAGTCATTTGGAAAAGTCTATCTGGGTTAGAGTTACGGGATTCTGTCAGGTAAATTTAATATTATTTCCTCCCAAGCTTGGTTAATGGTAGTATGAGGCATGAGTCCTAGAGATTACAAGGCAATGAAGAAAATTGTCTTTAAGGAGGAATTATCAAAGTACTAGAGAAAGCAAAATTTAAAGACCAATGGACATCATGGCTCAAAGCAAAGCAACTTAAAATTCAGATAATCTACATGAAATGAGTAGTGAATTCTGTGTAACTGACACCATGGTATTCTAGTTATGACTTACAAGAGATTTATAACTGCTGTATGACACCCCTAGTAAATGTTTAATTAACAACTCCTCTCATGTGCCACAGTCCAGACAGAATGTTAGTAACAGCATTTGCAGTCTAATAATCTATTTATGTTCACTCTAGAGTTTGAAGGTAACCAGACTCCAGTTTTGAATCTAAACAACTTATAAAAGAATGATTATGCTCAACTTAGCCTTATTATATTCTGGTTCCAGCCAAAATCAATGTTTTAAGCGAGCCAAGAGCAGCACTCTAGGAAACTGGAGAAATACCCTGGAGGAAAAGATTTAATTGCATTATTCTAGTACCTTGGGTCTTTTTCTGTGTAAAAACGTTCATTACGTTTGTTATCACCAAAAGTGGCTCGATATACATCATGACAGCGAAGGTTCCTCTGGAAGGTGTAGAATAAAACATCTTCATCTTCTTCATCTTTTACCCATTCTGAAAGAAAATAATTAAAGAATTATACCTAGCCACCTACTTACTGTTAACAAAAAAAGGGGAGGGTGGTGGCCTGGTGGCACAGTGGTTACGTTTGCACACTGGGGTTTGTTGTTTCGGATCCCGGATGCAGACCTATACAACAATCATCAAGCCATGCTGTGGCAGTGTCCCACATATAAAACAGAGGAAGACTGGCACAGATGCTAGCTCAGTGACAATCTTCCTCAAGCAAAAAGAGGAAGATTGGCAACAGATGTTAGCTCAGGGCCAATCTTCCTCACTCAAAAAGAAAAAAAAAAAAGGGCACAGTGCACTCTAATTCTGAATGCCAAAGAGAAGAGATGTACAAGTTTATCCTGGAAATCTAAATCCAGCACAGGTTCAACTGTATCTAATCTGCATTATATGTAAGCCAAAGAACCTTCCAGAGAATAAAATACTACTACATCAATTCTAAGTTTTCAAGAAGTTATCAGTCTCAGGGTACTCAAGTTTCTAAACAAGAGCTGAATGTTCAATATTTAGGAAAGACTTTCGTAGACACATTTGCTTTCAGATGAATTATGCTTAAATCTACAGCCTCTGACTTTAAGTCTGAGGAAACTGGATTACTTTCTCTTATACCTAAATGTTTTCTGTCTACTTTTAAGCCACAGGGTATCTCAAACTACCAAATATACTTTTAATGCTGGTGTTTTCTTAATCTTACCAGAAGCTGTCAACGCAAGTTTTCACACAATTACATCATGACTGCCACCTGGCTGACAGTGACTGTAAGACATCACTGTATAATATGCATCCTGATTTTAGAGAGGTTAAAATGTAGACAAAACGTTATGTTTACAATCAATTAAATAGGGTATAATTTCAATTCACTGCAAAAGCATTTAAACAATGGGGAAATTTACGGCAGAAAATGAAAAAGGAGGATAAAGTATGAACATATGTATCAATGATAAATGATAAAATTTAAAGTTGGTTCTATTAGTAAAAATAGCACAACTTCTATTGATGAATCAGTTAGTTCAACATGTTCTGAAGTTCTCTGGTAGTGACTTTGGGCAATTTGCTGTAAAAGCATGACAAGATAATGTGAAAATAAAAAATGATACCCGGGGGCCAGCCCTGTGGCTGACTGGTTAAGTTTATGCACTCCGCGTCAGCAACCCAGGGTTTTGCCGGTTCGGATCCTGGGCACGGACATGGCACCACTCATTAGGCCATGCTGAGCCAGCGTCCCACATAGCACAACCAGAGGGACCCACAACTAAAAAATATATACAACTATGTACTGGGGGGATTTGAGAAGAAGGAAAAAATAAAAAAATATTAAAAAAAAAAGTGATACCCAAGCTTAAAGTTGAATAAAATACTAAGATACAGCTTATATGCAAAAATGTATTCTAAGTAATAAATTAGCAAAGAATTACTGATATATCAAAATACACTGTACAACTTGGATTCTTATTATAATAATTTAAAAAACATGAACATGATTTTGGATATGTCACTAAAGAAGGGAAGGTCTCCTGGACAGGATGCACACAGGAAGGTGTGGAGAGCACAGGGTAAATGGATCAGGTACTCCCCTTCTCATACACTCACATGTGCACGTGAAAATGTTTCAAAAGTGTGGAAAATTCTCTTACTGTTGCCTTTTCAACAGAGAAGACTGTTCTAGTTGGTGGCTTACCAAAACTGGATACATTTGGGAAAGACGCTTCCATTGCAGGCTGATCACTGAGCTTCACAATTATACAGGTAGATGCTTCAGAATCTTCAGTTCTTATCTTGGCAGCTACGTATTTTTCATCAGGAGCAACTCTGATACAATCAATGAAGGGCTGGTCTAATTTAAGTTCCTCTAAATTGAATAAAACTTCATAATTATCACTGTCTGCTGCATAAAGAAAAGGATGAAAGAGATAATCCACAAGATGTACTTAAAAATTTCTTAAACTGTTTTTTTCAATGTTTTAAATTAGCATTCCCCCTCTCTATTCTGGCTTCCTTCAGCATCAATGGCAGCTTGATTTGCATAGAAATTGGCATTAGTTATTTAATATTATCCTATCCTAATCAATATTTTTCTATGTATCAACCTATGTGATGTTATTCAATACAGTTACAGTTGAGTATTTACAGACCACATAGAACCTAGAAAGTAAGAGAATGTAAATGACATTGAATAATCTTTATAAAGTGCCTAGTACAGTACCTGGGATATAGTAGATGTTCAAAAAATGTTGGTTCCTACCTCCATTCTCCTCCCTGCCAACGCTTTTGAGTGTAGTTAACTAAATCTTAAGCAAACCCAGATATTAAAAACTAGTCATTTAAAAAAAGAGAGACAATTCAGAAATAATCTACACACAGTATTTTCTACACTTCTGAGAGATTAATATCAAATTTTCCATGAAAAATACGAAATGTGAAGAATCAGAGTACAGTCATATGTTGCTAAATGATGTTCTGGTCAACAAAGGACTGCATATACAACAGTGGTCCTATAAGAGCAGTACCAGAAAGCCTGGGGGTGTGTGAGCACACTCTATGATGTTCACACGACGAAATCACCTAAGCATGTATTTCTCAGGATGCACTCCATTGTTAAGCTACACACGACTGGACATTAAAAGGAAAAGCTGTGGCGTACCTTCTTCATCTTTGGAACGAACCAAGCAGCAACCTTCTTGATAATAAACAAAACCACCGTGTTTAATCTGACAACAAAAAGAAACAAATGGTTCATTTAATAATAAAAAATAACAAACACAATTTAATTGTTTAATGGTTTGATTATTCAAGAAGAAATGAGATCTTTTATAAAAAGTAGACCTGCTGAAGTCTATAAATTAACACACAAAAAAATATAAAATGGATCACTTTTTATAACATAGTGGTTAAGATATGGTTTTCTCTATCACTGGAGGAGTTTCTAATACATACACATAGGGATCAATAAAGAGAAGGCATAGCGAAATCTGTTAGTCCTCATGACTGTACAAACCACCTAAGCTATACTTTGGGAACATCTGACATTCACAGTGGGATTCAACTTCTCCACTGCAGAGGCATCTTTAAGATAACCCAGAATGATGCAGCTGAGGGAACTGTGGTTCAGACTTGTCTGAAAACCCAGTCAATAACTTTCTGAGATCCTTTCCTCTAAAATAGGCTGTCACCACCAACTGTTCATGGTCTCAATTTGATTTTGCACAAAGCATCTTATCTTCTGTGGGGTGACAAATACAGACAATTTGAGATTGAGAGAATGAATATTACCAATGTATGAATAGTGCTCTTGTCTAATACCTACACATTAAATGTAACTGATTGATTGATATGATTTCAGGTAGCTCAAGCCACATTCATTACCTGGTAGTTAGTGGTGTAATTTGAATCAGGAATTTCTGATTCTTAATCTACTGCTATTTCGATTCTACTATGTACGTGATTTTCATTTATAAGCTGTGGTTGCGTTTTCTAATCTTACTGAAAAATTTTCAACATGCATGTTCAGCCTGTTTCAATTGAATATTTATGACTCTGGTAACCCTAAAATGGTCAAACAAACACTTGGCTTTCATGGTATTACATTACTTAAAGTGAATTTCCTTTTATCAAAAACAGTGTACACAATCAAATACTTTTCAAATAATGAAGAAATCTGACTTAGTTTCATTTGAACTTCTCCTTAGAATTATTTGAGAAATTTTAAAACAGAATTGGTTGTTTCTAAAAATCATAATTAACATAATATGCTTGGAAATTCATTTTGGTTTTGATCTTTATAATTTATTTTAAGGATTACACTCTGCTTATTCTTTGTTCTTTAAATTTTTCAGCATATTTTAAAGCCAAAAGCAGTCTAATTTTGATATGGGATTAGGTCTATAAATCACAAGGTATTTCATTTGTATCCTGACTGGTAATATCAGATTTTTTAAAAAAAAGACAAAAGATATCCCACCTCTGCATTGATGATTTCATATTCTTCTTGCGGCTGTGTTTCTAATTTTGCTCTTACTTTTTCAAATGCATCCATGTTTTCTGAAAGGGATTTTTCGTTTTCTTGTTTAATAGGCAGAAAATCCTGGAAAAAGTTTTATTAGTATGATCATAATATTTCAAACTAGGAAAAAACCCTTAGCTTTTTAAGGATAATTCTTATTTCCTTTTCATGCAAGTACTACAATGTTAGGTCTACACCTATGAAATAATATGCACTTCATAGACCTTAAATGTTTCTTTAGCTCAATAAATGATTTCTTTTTCATTTAAAAATGTAAACAAAGAAAACACAGTGAACACTTGATGGCTATACCATTAATTTAAATGGATAAGTCCTTAAGATGCTAAGTACTAAGAAGTGCTGGAGAAGGTTCAGAAATGCTATGGGAAAGGTTTATACAAAATCAAGCAGTAAAGGAAATCCTAACAACATTTATGTATTAAATAGTCAGGGGTGTGAGGTACAACAAAAAGTCTTCTGAGTTTTATAAAGTACTAAAACACTTCCTAAACGGAGGGAAATGTCAAAGAGAGAGGAAGATATTTTCTTAATAAATGTTCACTATTATTTTATTCACAGAAAGAGTTACGATAAGAAATTTGTCCTATTTTATATCTTCATTAGCCATAATCATCTTCTCTTGTGGGGATAAGGAATCTCTCAAAGAGAACTGTTTATCAGATCAAAAGGTGGATTAATGCTTTACAAAACCAAGATTCTCTGTGAGTTTAAGGAAAAAATAATATATTCAGCTTATAAAAGGGAGAACAAGGAAGAATAATGGAAAATTAAAGAACATGAGTACAGACAGACATGAAAGCTAAATAAGCACTCAGTGTCTTATTAGGAGTATCTAATAAACTAAGAGCTTTAGTTGACCTCTGGTGAGCACGTAAATTCCCTATGAATGATTAGAATTTGGATAAGGCAAACCTCAATTGTCAAATAAAAAAAGGGTTCAATAATTCAACACTCCACAGTTTTGCCTTGTTTAAGCAAAAGAATTCTAGCCAAGATTTTCAACATGAGCTTTCTGCCAAAGATGACAACTGTACAGTGATTTGTGCCAGAGGGGCACTAAGCCCTTTGGTAAGGATCTCCAACAGCTGGTAAATATTTATTGCACAAGTGTGTCCATGATACTTTACCAACACTGCAGAGAATGTAAGCTATAAATATAGTTTATATCACAAACAGTTTACAATCTAAAATTAAACCCAAGAATAAAATAGAAAAATCATCAAAACAAATTAAATAGAAAAACAATCATTTCCACAAAGTTTTCCTTTAGACTTTTTGAGAAGCTTTATGATTTGGATTAGATTTAAATGAGCAACAATGCTCATTATGGTGGTCTACATCATTCCGTCTCTACTTCAATCATATAATTAATATGCTTGAGTAATTATTTGAAATCTAAATACTGGAGGCTCATTTTTTTTCACTTATTTTTTAGCATTTCTACAAAATTTAGAGTTGATCTTTAGGGTGGTAAGGTAAAATATCTATATCAATAATTTCCTACTATAACCCAAAACACTAATCAGATCACTAGGAATCTATCCTGAAACTATACTTAGCCATACAAACTGCCTTTTCATTTCCAGATATATGCTTATCTATTCTGTAATTCCCATTAGAACTTCTGAAGTAGAGTCAGGATAGCTACGAAGAGTATGTATTTCTACTACCTTGCAGGTTCTAGGATGTTCTAGGTTGGGAGGCTGGGCCCTGCTACTTTTAAATACCTCTTCTTCTTATTTTGCTTTTTACTGCAATAACATCGGTTTATAACATTATATAAATTTCAGGTGTACCAAATACCCATTCTTATTGACACTCATAGCCAAGGCAGGGCTAAAGGCTATGGGCCCAATACCTGTCTTCTTAGTTAAATTTATTTTATGTTACATATTAACTTTTTTCTGTGTCAAAAATCCAAATAAACTGAGCTTATTTGAACCAAAGTAACCCTGAAAGCAACAGGAGTTCTAACTGCCTTAATAAAATGAAAGAGAATTCAAGAGCTTTGTAAGTAACTCCTCAAAAGGAATTACTCCCAGGGAAATTGAGATTTTATATAATATGCATAAAGTACTCCAAGTAGTTTGTGTTTTAGTACTGTCCCAACAGTATCCAATGGGTGTTTTAAGCTTTCATTTCAATACCAGCTAGCATTATCATTAGGGTATGCAGCTAAACCTATCCATTCTAGCCAAGTATCTTATGTATTAAGACTATTAAACCAATAGTCCACTAATTTCAAGGACATATACTACCTAATGGAGCTGAGGTGAGGATAGCTTTAACTTCAAATTTTAAGAAGGTTACACATACAGTATCACTTCACTAGTGGAAAAAAGAAGCACTCCTTCCCCCTTCCAGGTGGCCCACCACAAAATCATTTTAACAATGAAAACTTAGAAAACAGGAGAACAGAATATGTTAACGTTATCATAGCAAAAATGTTGAACTCTAGGGGCCAGCCCTGTGGCTGAGTGGTTAAGTTCATGCACTCTGCTTTGGCGGCCCAGGGTTTTGTCAGTTCGGATCCTGGGCGCGGACATGGCACTGCTCACCAAGCCATGCTGAGGTGGCATCCCACATGCCACAACTAGAAGGACCCACAACTAAAAATACACAACTATGTACCGGGGGGCTTTGGGAGAAAAAGGAAAAATAAAATCTTAAAAAAAAAAAAAAGCTGCACTCTAAAGACAGAAAAATGGCACAGTAGAAAGACAGTGGACAGCTTTTAGTCAAGATGGTGCCACTAATAAATGGCTAATTCCAAGTCTAGGGTAGGGAGTGCAAAAAGGATATCTTGTGCCGGACAGCAAACAAATGCTCAAAGACTAATGGAGACTTGTGAAAAGGACACCAGGGCCAGCTTGAAGGAGTTCCTACTAGCCTCATTTGGGACAATTTGAGCATCAAAAAGAATAATGATGTAAGTGACTATAATACAATTAAAAAACAAAAATTCATAATAATTTGAAAACAAGCAAAAAGAAACTAAAATAAAAAATAAAAAGAGACTACAAGAAAAAAGGAAACTTCTTTATAGATTAATACTAGTTAATAAATGTAGAAAGAATAGAATTAGAAAATTGTTAGCAACTCTCAGTGAAACAACTGATTAGGGTAAAGATCATCAACGGTTGTTAAACCCATTAGGCGAAATGATGTTGGGTCATACAATACTTGTACAGTACCAAAGTATTATCTTACAGATTACTTAGTAATTGCAAAGGAAATAATGCCTGTTTTACAATGGAGAGAACTGGCAATTATCACCTTAACCAAAATTATCAAGCTTAGCATCACTAACAGTGGGACAAGCTAACATAATGTTGTCTCCTGATACAATGCAATATGAAGCAGTTCAATTTAAGACAGAAAAAGAGAAGAGTAAACTTAAAGGAAGTAGAAGGGAAATAAAATTAATTTGTTTCAATGAGATTGATAAAGAAACTAAAGAGATGATCAACAAAATAAAAAGCTGGTTCTTAAAAAAGACATGAAGGGCAAAACTGATTACAAAAAGACATGAAGAGGGCTCTATGGCCGAGTGGTTAAGTTCGCGCACTCTGCTTCAGCGGCCCAGGGTTTCGCCGGTTTGCATCCTGGGCGTGGACATGGCACCGCTCATTGGGCCATGCTGGGGCAGCGTCCCACGTGCCACAACTGGAAGGACCCACAACTAAGATATATAACTATGTACTGGGGGGATTTGGGGAGAAAAAGCAGAAAAAAAAGGACAAAGAATATTAGCAATGAAAAAGGTGGCACAATTACAGATAGAGATTTTTAAAAATCACAATAAAGTTCTTTATGCCAATACATTTGAAAACATAGATAAAAATGGATTATTTTCAAGAAACTAAATGAATTTAGGTTCAAAAACTGACAAAACGTAGAAGAGCCGAATAAACCAACAACTATCAAAGAAACTGAATTAGTAATTAAGTGCCTCCTTCTTAAAAGAGACACCAAACCCAGATACTTTAAAAGGTAGCTTTCTTGAATCTTCAAGGAACAGATAATCTTTTCATATGCCAACTTAAGAAAAAAATGCCCTCTGTTTAAAACTACTCAACTTATTTTATCAGGCTAATATAACCTTGACACAAAAACTGGACAATGACAATGTAAGACAATTAAAAATCAATCTTACTGTAAAATGTGAATTTAAAAAACCTAAAGTAAAATATGATAAACCATGTATTTTTAAAAAGCACAAAACGAAAACAATAATAGTAATAATAAAACCCTATGTGACCATGTAGGATTTACCTTAAGAATGAAAGGATGGTTCAACATCAGAAAAATCTATCAATGTAATCTAACACAAGTAAAGGAGATACACAGTAGGGTCATTTCAATTAACGCAGAAAAACCCAGAAAATAATCAACAAGTTTTTTAAAAAAATGATAGAATCTTAAATACGGAATAGAGAGAAACTTTCTTGACTTGATGAATGCCTGTTATTTTACATAGGACCATACTAAATCCCTAATTAACATGCCTGAATGTATTTGTATTAGTACACATCTTATTTAGCATCTGTGAAACACTTTTCAAGAATCTTAATGATATTCATTTAAAATATCTAGTTTTATGTGCTGTTTATTTTGTTATCCAAAAGTGATTGTTAAATGAAGGACAGTAATTGTTTCCTATGTTCTCTGCCTCTATTCCTCTCCTCCCCCTTCTCTTGAGTCCAGTAAGATTTTTGCCCTTCTCATCCTACTAACTACTCTTGTCAAGGTCACTGATGGCCACCACATTGCATGGTAGAAATGTTAATTCTAGGTATCCATACTACTTGACCTATTAGCACCATGACACAGTTTATCACTTCCTGCTCCTAAAAACACTTTTCTTCACTTGGTTTCCAGGATACCTCAATCACGTTGTTTTCCTATTTCACTGGCTCTTCTCAGTCTCTTCAGCTGGTTCCTACTCAACTCCCTGGCTTCTTAACATCGCATGCCCTGGACCACTTCTTTATCTGCCGTCTGCACTAATTTCCTTTGTGATCTCATCGAGCCTCATGACCTTAAATGTCATTTATTTG